GACACCGCTTTGATGACATGTGCAGAGCAGAGGTGTAGCACTGTGAATCTTGTTATTGTTTTCCATTTCTTCTTCCCCAGGCAAATGTAAAAACACCTATCCAAATATGAAAAAATGCCGTCCTTATATTATTGAAGGAAAGGAGCACCGCTTGAATTAGAGCATGGCTGTAATCAGTCTCTACATGCTTGACTTTTATTCTAGTGCATCTTGAAACTGCATGGAGGAAGCAGAAAAGCCAGTGGGTTATTGTAGGGACAGAGTGGTCATTTGAGATAATTTCTGCCACAGGTAATGGGGGTGTGCCCCTCCCCTTTCCAGCCAACACAATGGCATTGTACAGCACATGCTTGCTTTGGGTCCGGTATCTTAGAAACAACACTTCCTGTAGCATCCAGATACAGGTTCACTGGTCCCTTCTTTCTGAGATGTGCTATTAATATACCTCTAACCCAGTCTCGGTGTAAAGATGGACACAGAATGGGTCAACCTGATAGAGCTGAATGTATCCAGGGAAGTGTTGATAACTGCCTTTATCTCCTCCTTTGGGGTCTCACTTAAGAGGTTGTAGTAGGTATTGCTTTTTCCTACTTGAAGTTTTTTTGGCAGTTGTCCCTCTTTTCATATTTGATGCCTGCCTTTTTCTGTTGTGTTTATTTAGATGGCAGACATTTCCGATTCGATTTACAGTCATGAACACTGCTCTGTCCTTCATGGTGGGCCTGGTTTTCATACTGAAAATGTACTGTGGCTTGCATGACGGGAATGTGCACACTGCTTTTTTTGAGAGGTAAGAGGAATTTCTTTCTGCTGTATGTTGGTTTAGGATGTTGGTATTTAAAAGATAAAACACCACAGGGATTAATCTTTTGGAAATGTATAGTATATGGGTCCATGGCTGTCTTAATTTTCTGGACCCTATAGGTCTTATGGATCTCCAAATTCTGTACTTCATGAGCGTGCGATGGCATTTCAATCAAATGATACAGTTGCTTATAAGCTATCCTGTTACTCATTGAAACGTTCTATTAAATCTGCAAAGCGCAGTTACGGGGACAGGTTAAAGAGTTATTTGGAGTAAGATGACCCTCGGCGCATGTGGAGCGGTATTAAAGCTATCACATCGTGGAAACCTAGCGCTGGGAAAATTGCATCTGTCGGCCAAGCTCTGCCAAATGAGCTGAACACGTTCTGCTGTCGCTTTGAATCCGCTGATGCCTGTCCTACTGTATTCCCTGAGTGTTTCAATCAAGTTGCCTTCACCGTGACTCAGGAGGAAGTCAGGCGTGTCTTGTCCAGGACCATAGTCCGGAAAGCCCCAGGCCCGGACGGCAGCCCTCCTCGTGTCCTGAAACTGTGCTCTGAGCAACTTGCCCCTGTGCTAACAGACATTTTTAACCTGTCGCTAAGGAACTGTACTGTGCCGAACTGCTTTAAAGAGTCGACCATCATTCCAGTTCCTAAGAAAACTCCTGTGACATGCCTGAATGACTATCGTCCTGTGGCCCTCACGTCTGTTCTTATGAAAACTTTTGAGCGGCTTGTGCTGGACTTCATTAAGAGCCAGATCCCTGTGAGTGTTGACCCGCTCCAGTTTGCTTACAGACAGAACAGGAGTGTGGAGGATGCCATCTCCTTTACTCTGAACTCTGTCTACAGTCACTTGGACACTAGTAAATCTGTCGCGAGAATACTTTTCATCGATTATAGCTCTGCTTTTAACTGCCTTGTCCCAGGTAAACTGATTGAAAAGCTCATGTCTCTCGGTTTAAGTGTTGCCATGTGTAAATGGATATTTACCTTTTTAACTGACAGATCTCAGAGAGTGAAAATCAATGACTGTTTTTCTGATGTTGTTTCTGTGAGCACTGGTTCTCATCAGGGATGTATTTTGAGTCCTTTGCTTTTTATTTTGTACACTCACGATTGTGTGTTCTCCTCTGACTCAAACTTGATCATCAAATATGCTGATGACACCACCATCATCGGTCTCATCAGTGACACTGATGAATCCTCTTATAGAGCAGATACAAAATGTGGTTCAGTGGAGTGAAGCTAACAACCTCCAGTTGAACGCATCGAAAACATGTGAACTGGTCTACGACTTCAGTCGCAATAGTTCTCATTTGCCTGTCGTAATCGACAACTCCCAGGTGCAGATCGTAGAGGAGTGCAAGTTTCTGGGTTTAACTCTGTCTAACGACCTGAAATGGGTTAAAAACACTGACCGAATCGTTAAGAAAGCTCGTCAGTGTCTCTACTTTCTGCGTAAACTTAGAGAATTTACCACTAACTCTAAGATTCTGCTTAACTTTTATCGCTGCACCATTGAGAGTTTACTTGTTGGTTCTGTATCTGTGTGGTTTGGAAACATCACAGATAAAGAAAAGAGAGCTTTAAACAAGGTGCTCCGCTCTGCAAAGAGGACCGTGGGCTGTGAGCTTCCTGTTCTGGAGGTTCTTTTTAAATCCAGACTTTTAAACAAAGCTCTTAGGATTGTTAATGACTCTTCTGGCCACCCTGGAAAAGCCATGTTCCAGCTTCTTCCCTCTGGCAGAAGATATCGCTCTCTGAGATGCAGGACATCTCGTTACGCTAACAGTTTTTATCCACAAGCTGTTATCAGTTTGAACAGAGCACTTTAATAATTTGCACTTGTTTTGAAACTGTTTTAGTCGATCGATTTCACAGTGACATTTGTTTACTGTTTTATTTGTTTTATTTCTGTCTTTTAATGTTGTTTTATGTCTGTATTTGTCTGTGCACACTGGAGACTTTTTGCTAATGTATTCCAATGTGGTGTTTTTACTGCAAATGGCAAATAAACTGAATCTGAATCTTAAACTTTTGGGGGATGGAAATGGTCTTTCTTTTCTTGTTTGAATTATCAATATTTTCCCCTTTAACTTTTTTTCTCAAATGGTGGCAAGGGATAGGGTTGTCCTGCTCTTCAGAATCTGAATGGTGTGGATTACTGGTGGAATCGTCACTGTTTCCAGGATGCCCCTCAAATACTATGCCTACATCAGAAATCAAATCCATTTCAGGAGCTCCCGTAACACTGCCTTTGTCTTCAGAGGCTGCATTCTTTAATTGCGAAACCTTTGGAATGGCATCATCCGCTCTTGTTTTGTTTCTTGTTCTCATTCACTTGATGTCTGACCCCTCTTCGGTTGTGGGTCCATATTACCAAACAATAATTGAGACAGCTTGGACCAGACATCCTCACTGTACGAGACCCCTCTCTATTTCACCTTGGAAAACTCTTCAACAACAGCCTCCTTTCCTCCAGCCGCCTCCCAAAGGTCTTTTGGACTCTCCCGTTTCCTCATTTTCTAAATGAGTAAAGAATAATATAAAGTGTTTCGTGCAGTTTTTGTCAAATATTCAATTATGATGTGTGCCATGTTTGTAGATTCTTGTAACTTCCAACATGTATGCTTAATAATCTAACAATAATACTAATACTACTTATTATTAATAATTGTATTATCAAAAAAGATTATATTAACGGCTTATTAAACGAGCGCGAGGTCTGTACCGAGCAAGCAAGGTTAATAAATGTTTTATTATATGACCATTTTTTATTTATGCAAATATCGATCGGCTTCAGCTAGCAAAAACACATGCAACCAAACTGTCAAATCGTGACATGGAGAACTTGCTTATCAGATGATTGAGGTCGCCCGCTGATAAGTTCTCAGTCTCTTCTGTATCTTTACCAATGCTTTTTAGATATTTGTGAACTATGTTCATGTCCGACTTGGTTTTCCTCATCGTGTCTTTACCTTTCTGGTCTGTAACGAAGTTATCAATCTCTTCTTGACTGTTAGGAGTTATATTTTCGTCGTTATTTGCGGTTTTTACTTCTTCTGGCTCTTCGAACTCGTTGCTCTTCGAACTCGTTATTTTTATTGTGTGCACTGGTCACGCTGTGCGTGATCAGTGCACACAGTGGTCTTCTGCGTGTATATGGCATTGGGTACATGGCACGGGACGTTTTGAGAAAGGGTTGGCTGTGACGGATACTAAGGGGCTAATTGCTGATGGGTTGTGGGATGTACCAGGGGACATTGCTTGTTTGCAGAGGCAGGATACCTCTTTAAAACATTTGTTTGATAAGGTGGTTGCTTTGTACAACCCTGTGTCCAGCAAGGAACAGTTTGTATTGGAGGAGGACATTCTGTATTCATGTAATGAGGGTTGCAAACGTTTTGTTATCCCTGCTAGCTGTAGACAGTTAGTTTTACACCTGGCACACACTTTCCTGGGCTGGACATTTAGTCAAAAAACATTCCAGCGGGTCAGCACACAATTCTTTTGGCCAGACATGTATACTGACGTCCTGGCATACAGCACCACATGCCCAACATGTCAGCTCACCGGGTCTCCTGGCAAATCCGACATGGCACTACTCCAATCTCTCCCCATTGTCTGTCTTTGTCCCATTCCACAGAATTGCCATGGACATAATCGCTCCACTGCCACGGAGTGGGCGAGGTCAACAATATGTCCTTGTTGTGTGCGACTACGCCACTCGTTTTCCGGAGGCTTTTCCCTTTCGGACAATTACAGCACCAAGTGTGTTGCAAGCCCTGGTTCAGCTGTTCTCGCGAGTCGGGATCCCAGAAGAAATTATCACCGATCAAGGCACGAAATTTACATCTCGGCTGCTTAACCTGTTCCATAAACAACTAGGCATTTCCGCCATCAGAACCACCCCTTATCATCCACAGACTGATGGATTAGTGGAGCGGTTCAACCAAACGCTCAAAAAGATGCTCCGGAAGGTCGTGGACGACTCGGGAAAGGATTGGGACCGGTGGCTTCCTTTTCTGTTGTTTGCCTACAGAGAGGCCCCACAGGAGTCCACCGGCTTCTCACCATTTGAACTTTTGTATGGGTGGGATGTACAGGGACCGCTGGATCTGCTGAAATCTCAATGGACTGCACCAAACACCAAGCAGCGTGATTGAAGCATTGTGCAATATGTGCTCCAGATGAGGGACAAACTGGACCAGTATCGGGAGGAGGCGGTAGAGAACTTGCGAGAAGCTCAGAGGAAGCAGAAGCGGTGGTGCGGTGGTACGACAAGACGTATCACATCAACCTGCTAAAGAAGTGGGGCAAGTGCTTCTCTTCTCGTACAAGCAGTAGAGATGGAGGAAGAGGGGGACCCTGATGTTGCCTTCGTCACTGAAGTGGAGGGTACCCCAAACTTGTCCCACCTTACCCCCAACATGATCACCCAGCTCAGGCAGGTTTTTGAGGAGATACCATCCCTGTTTTCCGCTATACCTGGTCAGACTGTAGTGATCGAACACACTATCCGACTGAAGGACCAGACATGGCCGTTTCGTCAGAGGCCCTATTGTGTTCCCCAGAAGTTGGTCGAGCAGCTCCCCGTTGCCCCTGGTGGTTAGTCACTGTACATACTTTTTGTCACTATTAGTTTTGTCCCTCACTTGCTGCAGTGAAAATAAACCTCTGCACTACAGAAAAATAACCTGGCCAGACCATATCATTTCTTTTGAGAGCCCGCAACAATTTGTATGTAACAAATATTCTCTTTTTTTAATAAGATGGTTCTCTTAACCGGATTCTTACATCCTTTTATATTAAATGAACAGAAATTCACTAGAGGGACCATATTTTTACTCTGAAAAAATGTATTGTTATCTTTTCACTCTAAACAATTTAAATAAATGTGCCATTGGATATTTTGCCAAAATCGAGCAGCCCTAATAGTGAGACTGCCCACTGCTTGGCAACTCTGCACTTCAACACAAACACTTTATAATATAATAAATCCAACAATAGAATGATATGGATTTTTGTAATCATTTATTTTCTTCAGAAGCTGTTGAGAAGGCGAGGAATAAGCTAGCAATAAAAAAAAAACACCACCAGCCCTCTAAAATGTAAATGTTTACTACCATATTAATAATTTAATGAATGAAGGACATGCACAAGGAGTCTGTAATAAAGGAATGATCACACAGGCAATTTTGTTTTATGATTATGCTGTTAGAATAAATTATGTAAAGAAACAATTGTTCAACATTGGAAAATAAAGCATTCCGCAGGACGGACAGGGCTCCAGTGGTTTTCAATGTGGAATTTCAATGTTTTCGGACAAACCTGTTGGATCTGTAAACAGAATAATGCACTCATTGTATGTAATGTAATGTCATTGCATGTTCTCAAGTCTTGAATGAGAAAGTGAAAGATATACAGCCAGGCAAAAGTAAATTGAGTGGATTTTCCTAACCATATAGGTTCTTGTTGGTGACGTTAGTAAAGCGACCAGTCGGCAACAATACAGAGCAGAACTGATTGAAATGTGTGTTGAAACTGAAAGATCATTTTGAATAATAAATAACAATGTCGACAGTAGCTCAGTTGGTAGAGCATTGGCCTTTGTGTTACGGCTCAGTAGAGGAAGAACCCAGCAATGGACTCCAGAACAAAAGGAGAAAGGTTAGTAATGGTTTTTATTGTCCAGTGAAGTAGGGGGCCGGGAGGTGGGGCAGCTGGTCTTGACGTAGAGGCACAGGTTACAGGTAGAAATTTCAGGAATCCAGTGAGGTTGCTGAGGACCACAGGAGATAAGGTCAGTAATCCAAAAAACAGGAAAAATGTCAAAACTTAGTAAGTAGCAGCCAAGTAAGTCACCGTGAGACGGAGAATAACAATCTGGCAGAGTCTGGCAGGTGAGCTGGATTCTTGAATGGCTCTGATTGTAGATTCAGTGCAGGTGCTCCCAGGAGACTCCGCCCACGTGTCCACACACACACACACACAAGGGAAAAGAGGAGGGGCACAAGGACATGGGGAAGTAAGCACTGTCACACAGAGGGGTGTGACAGTACCCCCCCCTCTAACGGGCGTCACCGGACGTCCGACCAGGCTTGTCCGGAAACTCAGCGTAGAAGTCCCGGAGGAGGGACACATCAAGGACATGACGGCGAGGAACCCAGGAGCGTTCCTCAGGACCACAACCCTCCCAGTCCACGAGATACTGAAAACCCCTACCACGCCGGCGAACGTCCAGAATACGCCGCACCGTGAAGGCAGGATGACCGTCGATGACACGGGCGGGAGGAGGGGGATCGGCCGGAGGGCAGAGAGGACTGGACGAGACAGGTTTAAGGAGAGACACGTGAAAAGATGGATGTATGTTAAGGGAAGAGGGCAACTTAAGGCGAACAACAGATGGATTGATCACCCTTTCAACCACAAAAGGACCAATAAACTTAGGTGCCAGCTTCTTAGAGTCCACTTGAAGAGGCAGGTCACGGGACGACAGCCAAACCCGTTGGCCAGGCTCGTAAGCCGGGGACGGTTTACGGCGTCTATCAGCAATTTGTTGATTTCTGGCCGCTGTACGCAGAAGGGCAGCCCGGGCCACTCTCCAAACCCTCCGACAACGCCTAAGGTGAGCTTGGACTGATGGGACCGCCAAATCCTGTTCTTGGTCAGGGAAAAGAGATGGTTGAAAGCCCAGAGACACCATGAACGGGGACATACCTGTAGCTGAGGACACTAAGGAGTTATGGGAATACTCAATCCAAGGCAAGTAGGAGCACCATGTAGACGGGTTCCGAGAAGCAACACAGCGCAAGGCAGACCCCAAGTCTTGATTTGCCCGTTCAGCTTGACCATTAGTTTGAGGGTGGTAACCTGATGAAAGGCTGACAGACGTACCCATGGCTTGACAAAAAGCTCTCCATACTTGAGAGGTGAACTGAGGGCCTCTATCTGACACAATGTCCACTGGAATGCCATGAAGCCTGTACACATGGAGGACTAGAAGGTTAGCAGTTTCAGTAGCAGTGGGCAGTTTAGGCAGAGGAACATAATGTACTGCTTTGGAAAAACGATCCACCACTGTGAGGATAACAGTGTTCCCTTCGGATTCTGGAAGTCCTGTAACAAAATCTACAGAAATGTGGGACCAAGGCCGCTTGGGAATGGGCAGAGGAATAAGCAGGCCCGCTGGAGGTTGATGGTTGGACTTGCTTCGGGCGCAGGTGGCACAGGCAGCAACGAAAGAACGAGTGTCCTTGTTCATAGAAGGCCACCAAAACTTCTGCTTAAGGAAGGTAAGGGTCCGGTAGAATCCAGGATGACAAGTTAAGTTTGGAACTATGCCCCCATTGGAGAAAAATCATCTTAATTACATTTTTAATCAGCGCGATTAATAAAAAAATTTTAAAACGCATTAACGCAGAGACCGAAAGACCACGCCCATAAGATCCAAAATAACACTCAGGAATGCCGCGGACACATCTGAGATGGCGACAGAGCAAAGCAGGTAGGCCCCACTGGTAATACAAGGTTTAAAAGAATACGCGAGTGACCAGCGGGGGTGTTGTTTCTGTGAACTGAAGTCCGCCTCCCGTGGGCACACACCGGGGGCAGCTGCGGCCGACGCTCTGGTTGTTGTTAGCGGCTCACAGCCGCTAACAACAACACGGCGAATGATCGCCGTGGTTAGACCAAACATGCACAAGACTATTTCTAGCATGTTGTGCATTGTGTGTCTTGCAACCTGTGCGTCAACCTGTGCACGCAAATCACCTGTGGAATGTCCGTCGCCTCCTCCTGAAAACTAAACAAAGTGAAACACGCTAAAATTCATGCTGGTGTACGAAATGCTTCTCCCCTTTCATTAACAGCATCATTTTGGTTGGCCCAAGAGTAAAAGGTTTTGAGCAAATCAACACATATTTAAGTACATTTGGTATGAATGACAATGTTCATTACCTTTGATAAATCTCATTTAACTTTTAAATGGAGTGGATTTGTCATAGAATGTTAAAAATGCATTAATATCGTGAGTTAACTCACCATTACTATGCGATTAATCAACTAAAAAATTTGAATCGTTTGACAGCCCTAACAACAAATGTTTTTCATTGGGTTAGGGTAAGGGCAGGGATTAAAAGTTAGGGGTAAGGTTTAGAGCTGTGATTTATTAGGAATCAGAGGTTAGTTCAGCTTGTTGAACTAGATTTCAAGACTTGCGCAAGCACCCTGCTCTGATCTATTTCATTGTGAAGGTTCAAGGTTCAACCTCATCACCTCTTTATTACTCTCAACATCAGGACAACTCAGCTTGTCTGCATACTACCAGCTCAAGAATATGACTTGATAATATACAGTCCCATTAGTGCGAGAATACAAATAAACATTATTACAATAAAAAAAAAAACAGTATTTACACAATAAACAACAGGGTACAAGGTAAGGCGAAGGTTATTATTGATTATAAGTGTAGCGTGAGCGGTGGGTGAATTCTATAGTGGTAAATATAGTGTGAAAGCAGCTTTATCCATCCTGTATCTAAATATTAGATGCAGGATTAACAACTGTCCGCGTTATAAACTCATCATGTGTTGCGTCGGCTTTCCGATGCGGAAGTACCATTTAATAATAAAATAAACGTATGGCGCACCTCCGTGAACACATACTACTGCTATTTAAAGTCTCTGGAAGGTTTTTGGATACAGAGACGCTGGAGAGCTGCATTATTGGAGAAGAACTTTACACAAAAAGCCGCTAGCTTAACTACGTTAGCATCAAAGTCCGCACGCTACTTCCGCCACTTCCGACTTCTGGTGTGAAGACACCTGCGTCTGAAAACTAGGGAATATGCGTCTGGTGCGCGAGGCTCTACAGAGCTGCGTTCTTGGAAAAGAACTTTACACAAAAAGCCGCTAGCTTAACTCCGTTAGCATCAAAGCATTTCCGCTACATCCGCCAGGCGCCACTGCAGCCCAGGACTTCTGGTCTGAACACCCCTGCTTCAGAAATTTAGAGAATGTGCGTCTAGTGCGCGTGGAAACTGCGTTCCCGCGTTGGCATTTTGAACGCCCAATAAGGCGCATAGATGAGAGTGGGCAAAGCGGCAGCGTAGCTGTTGTAGCCTGTACAGTGTCAAATCAGTCAGCCCTCAGCTGCCTGCCTTGCCTGGCAAGGGACGCCTCTGCACAGAGGCGTGTAGGAGCCACATAGTAGCTTTTTCTATCTTAGTATCGGCACGGGTGAGGGCTCACGCACTGTCCTAGTTTGTCCACTGGGTGGCAGTTTAGAGTGACGTCTCTCAATTAGGCTGCATCTGTGTTGGGCTTAAGAGGGGCATGTGCACACCTGTGGGATAGGCATCATGGCAGGGTGAGCACGGGCTGCTACTTTCTGTTGACAAAATAATGCGGCGTAAAATGTCCAAACTGAGGCAATACGCCGCGGCAGGCTAAGACACGGGCTGCTACTTTCTGTTGACCGTAAGCAACATTCTGTACATCCATCATCATCCGGAAGGGCAACTGAGTCAACTCCACGAAACATCAAGTAAGTCCCTATCTGCATACGAAGGAATCTACGCGCCAGCAACATAGCCCGTGTCTTAGCCTGCCGCGGCGTATTGCCTCAGTTTGGACATTTTACGCCGCATTAGAGGCGTGTAGCTCAGCACATTGCGTGTGTGGAGTTTAAGACAGTGATGTCCTGACTAAATATTAGATGCAGGATTAACAACTGTCCACGTTATAAACTCATTTTGAATCAAATGGTATTACCTGCCGCGAGGCGCCGGACAGAACACGGAAATTCCCGAGCCGGTGGGTGGGCACGAAGCAAGAGGCCACAGGTAGAGGAGCAATCAGGGCAGCGCTTTTATGGGCCAGCACAAGCAGCCAATTAGGACGCACCCTCAAATTAAGAGCCCGCCTACACCCCGTACTGCCACATTCGAAAGAATGTTCCACAAGTAAGAAGCTTCCACAGTACTCTTTGGTAAACCTGGTGTCTACGGCTCTAATACTGTAGACTGTAGAAACAGCCAATTGTTGGGTTTGAACCGTTCCTCTTTCAAAGCTGAGGACCATTATTGGATAATCTGTAATAAAGCAAAAAGCCTCTGGAGGAACACATGTGAAAAAGTGATGAAGAGTTATGTATATATTTCAGAGTTTGGCGTGGTGGTGGTCCAGTCGGCGCTGTATGGCCGTGCAGACTCTCACACTTGCAGTGAGGGGAGACCTGTGCAGGAGCTTACTGACACACTCTGCTCTCAGGCCGGGGCCCAGCAGCTCATCAAGACCCGGTACAGATACACACAAACCGTCTGAGCTAAGCTGGGAGGGGTGCGGTTTCAACTCTGATTGGAGACTGCTGTAATACCAGGTGCCACAGTAAGGCGCTGTGGCCCTCAAGTAGGGCAATTCCACTGAAATTGTTTGAGGGACAGATTTCATGGTCGGCACTAGATCATACTACCTAAACTAATAGATCCATGCCTAAAATAAACCAGCCATTCCCATAGAATAACCCCAACCCACCCTTAAAGTGATTGTCTGGAGTTTGTCAGGGAGAGAGACAGAGAGGTACTTGATTTGAAAAAAACGACGCAAGCTCCCTCCCCCTTCCTTTCTGATTGGTCTACGCCTACGTTTCCGTAACACTTTGAAATGTTTATCAGAGAACACTTTGTACATATACATTATTAATACACATGCACGGAGGTTTTCAGAATGATTTGTGAACGTTTTAATGAAAAAAATAATGTTTTTTTTATGCACAAAAAAAGCGATCGCGGCAAACCAGGAAGTGCTATTATCATGAATTGCACATTATAGGACACATCTGCAGAGGATCTGATTATGGATATAGGTTCAGTATATACATAAGTACCTCAGCACGGATGTTCAGAATTCTTTGTTCAGTTTTCATATAGTTCCAGAGCCTAATAGAGGCTTGATTCGGAGGCTCCGCAAAAACAAACAACTGCGCATGCGCGCAGCTGCGAGCATCAGCACCGATGATTGACAGCCCTTGGCATGACTCGATTGGTTAACCTCGACGGCTCCGTGGATTCTGAACTATGGCTAAGAGCAGGGAAAGCGGGACTTGCCCGTAATATTAGAATTAATAAAATGACTTATTTTATATCAACATTTAAGGCCAGGAGGTCAATTTAACACATTTCCTAAAATGTGTAATTCATTTAGAGTTACAGACTATCACTTTAACCCTAACCTTAACAATCTTACTCTCACACCTAAAACTTAACCAGTCACCATTTAAAGTGATAGTCTGTAACTCTAAATGAATTAAAAATGTTAGGAAATGTGTTAAATTGACATCCTGGCCTTAAATGTTGATATAAAATAAGTCATTTTATTAATTCTAATATTACGGGCAAGTCCCGCCTTCCCTTCTCTTAGCCATAGCTCAGAATCCATGATGCCGTCGAGGTTAACCAATCGAGTCATGCCAAGGGCTGTCAATCATCGGCGCTGATGCTCGTAGCTGCGCGCATGCGCAGTTGTTTGTTTTCACGGAGCCTCCGAATCAAGCCTCTATTAGGCTCTGGAACTACATGAAAACTGAACAAAGAATTCTGAACATCTGCGCTGAGGTACTTATGTATATACCAGTGGGGGAGGGTCCCAGCTCAAAAGTGGCCAAAATGATGTGCGCTGACATGCTTGCAATACCACCCCGGGCCAATGGGGGTGGACCCAGAAGAAGAATTAGCCAATGCTAACATATAGCATTGGCAGACCTCTCCAAAACGTCTTTACAGGATGGAACAAAAGTTGGCTCTTGGCCCAAAGCTCCGTTCCACGCGATCGCTTTTTTTGTGCATAAAAACATTATTTTTTTAATTAAAACGTTAACAAATAATTCTGAAAACCTCCGTGCATGTGTATTAATAATGTATATGTATAATGTGTTGTCTGATAAACATTTCAAAGTGTTACGGAAACGTAGGTGTAGACCAATCAGAAAGGAAGGGGGAGGGAGCTTGCGTCGTTTTTTTCAAATCAAGTACCTCTCTGTCTCTCTTTCTGACAAACTCCAGACAATCACTTTAAGGACTTATTAGTCTAAAACTAATTTGAAAGTAGGATTGTTAGTTCCGCTTCCGTCCCGCTTCCGTGGATGACCTAGTGCCGACCCAGATTTCATACCAGGCAATGGGCTGTATGCACAAAGAGGCATAATTTCCTGTAAACTTAGAACGGTGTGTTTACTTCCGGTCTTTGCTAGCGCTATAGCCTTGTGGTGAGTTGCAGTGAAATTGTTTAGTAATTAGATCAATACATTCAGCTGTGAGACTGATCCAAAAGTGTTTATGTGCTTTCTCTCTGAGGAATAGCTTTGACTATGGCTACTTAGAGATAAGGTAACTTTACAAAAGCACAATGACAGCACAACGAAAGAGAATTTCTGCATCCTCAAAGTTGAATTCCTTTTTGAGCATTATTTAGGAAACTCGTGTAAACATCTGGTGAACTCCTGCTCAGCCACAGTCAAACTCAAGCCGACCCTTGTGCTCCGGAAGTTGAGTGTCGTTATAACTAAAACGCGGAAGTGGTGTATGCATAGAGCCCATTGTTTCTGGAACATTGTACAATCCACAATCTTTATGAGAGCCCCTGCAACATTTTTGTAAACAAATAAACATTGTACTAGGACTAGTCCAAACACATTACTTTTATCTTTAATTTGTAAGTACATCAGTGTGTAAATATGTTTTACTGTTCGCAGCTGCGATGGAAAGAGTGAGTGTGAGCTGAACACAGATTTCTTCCGTTCCTCTGACCTGTGTTTTGGGACATACAAATACGTGGATACCAACTACACCTGCTTCCCTGCACGTGAGTCCCACTCTAAGCATACTGCATAAACATTTTAAACATTGTCAGAGAGGAGACCTGTCTCACTTTTTCAGGAAGATTGTTCCAGATTTTAGCAGCATGAATCTGAAAAGCAGCCTCCCCATGTTTAGTTCTGACTCTGGGCACTAACAGGAGTCCAGTCCCTGTGCTCCTCAGAGTCCGGGCTGGTTCATATGGTACTAACATGTCACTAATATATTTTGGTGCGAGGCCATGGAGAGACTTGTACACAAGCAGAGCTGTTTTAAAGTCTATTCTCATAGACTACTACTTGCAGTAGTCTAACCTACTGGAGACAAATGCATGGATAAGAATCTCTGATTCTGCTCAAGACACTATGTTTTTGATCCTGGAAATGTTTTTTAAGTGGTAATAAGCTGCTGTTGTTACTGATTTGATGTGGCTATTAAAATTTAAGTCTGAGTCCAGTATTATCCCTAGATTTCTGACCTGGTTTGAAGGTTTTAGGGAGAGAGACTGTAGTTATTTTGACCAAACCTGACAATTTTGACCCAGTCTGACCCCTTACAATTTATATCAGACCTCAGACGCCAAATGATTTGCACAACTTTCGATCAGCGCTTTGTATTTTTTTACGCAGTAATGATGAGGTGTGTTGGTGAATATTTCTTTGAATCACTAATGGTCTTTGTTTATTCCAATGACAGATAAAGTTGTGGCCTGTGAACACTCGCTGGCTCAACTCCACTGTGGTAAGACCCTTGTGAGAGACATCCATATATTTTCATTTCAGCCTGTCAATATATTTCAACCTTTATTTGACAAAAATCCATTCATTCGTCCAGATTTGTTGAGTTAGTCTATCTTCGATCTAATACCATCGAGTAAAGGGTGCCTTTGCAGGGAGAGAATGACATATCCGAGTTCACAGGCATTTTATTGCGCTAGCAGAAAAAGTCTGAGCCAATCGCGCGCCACACACACACGGGGAACAACGTGCCATATGCGCTTCCCCATTGCTGTTTTCATCCTGTGTGCCTTCTAACCACGGGCCGCGGCAGACATCAAAATGTAAGTGTGAGTTCTGCTCTAACAGAAGGCGCCAACAAGTTTGTGAATGGTCAAAATAGACAGTATGCAAGGTGTGAGCGTTTCTGACAAATAAGATGAGCACTAAACAGTTTATACAATATGAGAAACATTACACAAGTACATAATATACATTAACATTTCCTGGAAAATGTACGTTTACCAAGTAACATATACTTACTTATACTTTAAGCCTATTTCTTTCCTGCTGACCCAAATGTGATATTCTGATTTTTAAAACCCTTACAGACTTTGATCAGGGCTCAAAGGTTGCTGTAAAAGAAAGCCTTTGTTAAATAAAGTGTGGGCACCACTGATCAACTAGTTAACAAGCTGAACTAACCTCTATTCCTAATAAATCACAGCTCTAACCTTAACCCTAAACTTTAATCCCTGCCCTTAACCCTAACCCAATGAAACATTTGTTGTAGGGCTGTCAAACGATTCAAATTTTTTAGTTGATTAATCGCATAGTAATGGTGAGTTAACTCACGATTAATCGCATTTTTAACATTCTATTACAAATCCACTCCAATTAAAAGTTAAATGAGATTATCAAATGTAATGACACATTGTCATTCATACCAAATGTACTTAAATATGTTTGATTTGCTCAAAACCTTTTACTTTGGGCACAACCAAAATGAGCTGTTAATGAAAGGGGAAGATTTACGTACCCCAGCTTTAATTTAGCGAGTTTCATTTAGTTTAGTTTCAGGAGGAGACACGGACACTTCCACGGTGTATTTGCGTGCACAGGTTACGCACAGGTTGCAAAGACACGCATGCACAACATGCAGAGAATAGTCCTGTGGCGTGTATGGTCTAACCACGGCGTCATTCGCCGTGTTGTTGTTAGTGGCTGTGAGCCGCTAACAACAACCAGAGCAGCCGCAGCTGCCCCCGGTGTGTGCCCACGGGAGGCGGACTTCAGTTCACAGCAAACAACACCCCCGCGGTCACTCGCGTATTCTTTTAAAACTTGGATTCCCAGAGGGCCTACCTGCTTTGCTCTGTCGCCATCTCACGCATGTGTCCGCGGCATTCTGAGTGTTATTTTGGATATATGGGCGGGTCATTCGGACATGCGTTAATGCGTTATTTTTTTATTAACGCGCTGATTAAAAATGTAATTAAGATGATTTTTCAAGATGATCAGATGATTTTTATCTAGAACAACTTCCTTGTATGTAGTGTAAAGAACACTTATGGCCTTGTTTGTGTCCAGATGAAGGTCAGGTGATCTTTGTCTACGGAGCAGACTACGGGCGGCGCGACTCAGTGACCTGTGCCTACAAACGCCCAGGGTCCCAGGTCCGGAACACAGACTGCTACAACTCCGTTGTGGCAGTGGCTCAGAGGTAAAACATTTAAAGTAGGGCTGGGCGATATGGCAGTAAAATCTTGATTTTATTTCCTGCTTCGGACGATTTCGATTTTAATCCAATTTTCATTACAGTCACCGAAGACTTTGCCCTTGAAAATATGTTTTGATCTTTCCGCTCAATATTCAAATTTAAACAAAAAATTTAATTTTTTTCTCCCAATACGTATTATAAAAGTCTTGTACAGACTGCTAATAATGGAAGTATAATTCATGTGCTGCAGGAACTTTCACAACATCCTTCATTTGGTTTCACGATGTTCACATTTTTCACAAATTCAATTTTTTCAAAAGCCGATTAATTGCCTAAATTCGATTTATTGCCCAGCCATAATTCAGAGCTTAGAACGTGTGGCTGAGGTTAAGAGGTCAAGCTTCAGCAGAGACATCCAATTTTTTTTTTATATTTTTTGAATGACTATTCTGTAAACTTAAATTTTGTTGCTTCATTATTGTGTTTTATAACTTTCAGTGGAAACCCCAGTAATGGTTGTGATCTTTGAGCAGTGATCTAAAGAAATTACTTTTGGAGAGCAGGTGGTTACATTTTTCATTGTGTTTGTGGGAACAATACTTTACATAATGACAGCATAACAAGCTGTTATACACGAGTGAAGCTCTCACCATCAGAGCGTGGACTTTTGTATGCATTGAGCTAGATCTCTATTAATGCGATTCCCTCTGACTTTAGAGGAATTATTTTGAAAAGCTGCTGCAAAAGGTGATATGGGTCCAAACAACATCAACACTGCACTGTCGACACTGCATTTCAACACGGGTCAAAAAACACTAGTCCTAGTTTCTTATTTGTAATATTCAGCTCAATCGGCTTCAGTTAAAATTATGTCTTTATAGAAATAGAATGTAACAAAGAACCAGCCACTGCAGCTGACCTCTCCTGGTGTCAGTGGGAGTTACAACCACCAATGCAAGCTAGTATGTGTTGGATGAATTCATGTGAATATCTTGTGTCCAAAAGACAATAACAGATGTCTTCTACAGATGCAATGGTGAAAACAGCTGTGTGATCAGAGCCGATCGCTCTGTGTTTGAAGACCCATGTGTAGGGACCTATAAATACCTGGAGGTGTCCTACGTGTGCATATGTAAGTCACCAGTGATGAAAAATAACAAGTAAATGTAGTAAAAAATGTGTACTGAGATGGTATAGGCATATGCAGAGAATGGATGAAGAGAGATTGACTAAGAGAGTGATGAATAGTTGCATGAGTGATAGTAGACTAAGGTAGGTTAAGATATGGAATGGTGGAGGAAGCGAGAGTTTGTGCTCAAAATTGGGAAGGATAGAGAGGGAATGTGAATGCCTGAACTGACATTGTTATTTATTATTCAAAATGATCTTTCAGTTTCAACACACATTTCAATCAGTTCTGCTCTGTATTGTTGCCGACTGGTCGCTTTACATGGGCGGCACGGTGGCTGAGTGGATAGCACTCTTGCCTCTCAGCAAGAAGGTCCTGGGTTCGAATCCCGGTCGGACCAGGGCCTTTCTGAGTGGAGTTTGCATGTTCTCCCCGTGTCTGCGTAGGTTTCCTCCGGGTACTCCGGTTTCCCCTACCACTAAAAATATGTCCAATAGTTCTGGCATGCGCTTCCTGTACTGGCGACCCCGCTCCCATCTCTGTGTGGAGTGGGAGACAAATGCCCAAAATTATTTCACTGCAGACTCCGATCTGCAGTGAAAAGGCGGTATATAAATAAAAGATTACTTACTTACTTACTTACTTACTTTACTAACATCACCATGTCACAACATGACCTATATGTTTAGGAAAATCCACTCAATTTACTTTTGCCTGGCTGTATAACTTTCACTTTCTCATTCAAGACTTGAGAACATGCAATGACCAGTGCATTATTCTGTTTACAGATCCAACAGGTTTGTCCGAAAACATTGAAATTCCACATTGAAAACCACTGGAGCCCTGTCCGTCCTGCGGAATGCTTTATTTTCCAATGTTGAACAGTTGTTTCTTTACATAATTTATTCTAACAGCATAATAAAACAAAATTGCATGTGTGATCATTCCTTTATTACAGACTCCGTATGCATGTCCTTCATTCATTAAATTATTAATATGGCAATAAACATTTACATTTTAGAGGGCTGGTGGTGTTTTTTTTTTTATTGCTATCTTATTCCTCGCCTTCTCAACAGCTTCTGAAGAAAAACAATTATTACAAAAATCCATTTCATTCTATTGTTGGATTTATTATATTATAAAGTGTTTTTGTTGAAGTGCAGAGTTGCCGTTACCCAGCAGTGGGCAGTCTCACTATTAGGGCTGCTCGATTTTGGCAAAATATCCAATGGCACATTTATTTAAATTGTTTAGAGTGAAAAGATAACAATACATTTTTTCAGAGTAAAAATATGGTCCCTCTAGTGAATTTCTGTTCATTTAATATAAAAGGATGTAAGAATCCGGTTAAGAGAACCATCTTATTAAAAAAAGAGAATATTTGTTACATACAAATTGTTGCGGGCTCTCAAAAGAAATGATAGGGTCTGGCCAGGTTATTTTTCTGTAGTGCAGAGGTTTATTTTCACTGCTGCAAGTGAGGGACAAAACTAATAGTGACAAAAAGTATGTACAGTGACTAACCACCAGGGGCAACGGGGAGAACAACTCTGGAACTTTGTGTCAGCATTGCACAGCATCCTCTTCATCCAACTTCCTCACACATTATGGCTCTGACAGCCCTCCCTTATAGGTCAGCACTAGATCATATACGGAATCGGGACGGAAGCGGAAGTAAATATGACAAACTACCTTTTCATCCCTAAACTTAACCAGCCATTCCCATAAAATAACCCCAACCCACCCTTAACCCTAACCTTAACCATCTCACTTAGACGCCTAAAACCAGTCACCATTTAAGGACTTACTAGTCTAAAACTAATTCGAAAGTAGGAGTGTTACTTCCGGTTTTGTCCCGATTCCGTATATGATCAATGTGCCGACCCTCCTTTATAACCTTATACCCCGAAGCTCCTCCCCCCCAAACCAATTAATACAAATAATAACAATTTCTCTACTAATAGAAACGTTTGGATTATCAACATAATTCCTAAATTCATTATATATTATAAAAAATAAAGTATAAACAAACATAGATGGAAAACCTGATAAAGAATAAAATACAGCAATTCTACACCAAAATCTGAGACTCTCGAGGGCCCACTTGATGGCGAGACTCTCCTTTTCCACCACGAAGTACCTCGCTTCTCTTGGCAGCAACTTCCTTCTCAGGTACAGAATGGGCCTTTCTTCGCCTAGACTCCTTGGACTAGCACAGCACCCAGTCCCACGGCAGAGGCATCCACTTGCACCACAAAGTTCTGGGTAAAACCTAGACTTCGGAGAACAGAAGTGTCTTAAAAGCTACCTCACATTGCTCAGTCGAGTTCACCGGATTCTTTTGGTGCTTCGTGGTTAGTGTGGTGAGGGGGAAGACAATAGTGTAAAACTGGTGAACGAAACGTCTGTACCACCCAGCAAGGCCTAAGAAAGACAGCACCTCTTTCTTGGTTCTGGGCCTTGGACAGTTCTTTATCGCCTCCACTTTGTCGACTTGGGGTCGGACTTCGACATGGCCGAGTTGATAGCCCAGATAGCGCACCTCTTCTCGGGCCCACTCACACTTTTTGACATTTAGGGTGAGCCCTGCACTATGGATCTTCCCCAAGAACTTCCTAAAGTGCCTGAGATGTTCGTCCCACGTCTGGCTGTAGATCACCACATCATCAAGATATGTGGCACTACACTCACTACAGCCCTCCAGGACCTTGTTCATCAGCCGTTGGAACGTTGCAGGTGCCCCATGTAGAGCAAACGGCATTACAGTGAATAGGAATAAGCCTGCTGGAGTGCAAAAGGTAGTGTAGGGCCGACAGCTGGGATCCAGAGGCACCTGCCAGTATCCCTTGCACAGATCAAGAGTGGTGATGTATCGGGCAGGGCAGTTCCAGCAGCTCATCAATGCGAGGCATCGGGTACGCGTCAAATTCAGAGACTGCATTGAGCTTCCGGAAATTAATGCATATCCTGAGAGTACCATCCTTCTTGTACAATATGAAAACCGGGCTACACCATTCAGAGCTGGATAGTTCAATCACACCCAACTGCATCATAGCCTCTATCTCCCTTTTTTCAGACCTTGAAAAGTCTTAAATTTTGTGTGTGAAAGTCTTAATAAAGTATGGGGAAAAAATAATGGTAGAATTTTATAGTCTGCTCAAAGGCATTGTGAAATGAAAATGGGAAGGTAGGCTATAAAGCTATAATTTTTTACTAACTGTTCACATACTGTATGGGCTCTATGCATGCACCACTTCCGTGTTATAGCTACAACCCCACTTCACTTCCTATGCGCGGGGAACGGCTTGAGTTTCACTGGAGTTCAGCAGTGGTTTACATGAGTTTCCCAAATATTGCTCAAACAGGAATTAAACTGTGAGGATACTGGGCATTTTTGGGACACAGCAGTGCTCTTTGATTGTGCTGTCATTATGTTTTTATAAAGTTTACAAGTCGCTCTGAGTGGCCACGGTCAAAGCTCTACCTCAGAGAGAAAGCACAGCGACACTTTTGGGTCAGTCTCACAGCTGAATGTATCAATCTAATTACTAAAAAACGTCACTAAAACTTACCTAAAAGCCATAGGATAGCATAGGCAGGAAGTTAATGGGCTGATCTGCGTTAACAGGAAATGACGTCACGCCTCCCCTGTGCATATAGCCCATTAGCCTAATGGAATGATATCCAATCAACGCTTGCTTTGCATGGCACATTTTTGTGATCAACAGAAATGGATCTTGGAAAAAAAAAATCAGTTTTAAAAAAGTCTGGAAAAAGTCTGAAATTTTCATTTGGAAAAGGAGCAAACACCCTGTCAGTGGGAAAAATTACAGAACCACCGCTTCAAGAATCCAGCGTTTTGTCTGTGCTTCAAAGGGTGCTCAAACAGAATCGGTTTGATAATGTTTACACTGTTTTAGATTTTTTTTAAAGGCCCTTATTAAGTCACGAGTTCTGCATGATCCTCACCACAGCTGAGGCGGTGCACGTTACCAGAGTCATCACAGGTCACAGCTCGCTCCTCCGCCGCTGGAACACATTTCACATTTACATGAGGAGGATGAGGCATGGATAAAGACGCATCATTTATACGGACACGTGTGTGGCTACAGCGGGGCAGCAATGGCTTGGTTGGTATGAGCATTGATTTTTTAACCTAATGGGCGTGGGTTCGATTCCCCCCTCTACTCAAGTCATTTGCTTCCACTGATGTCTGCTGTTGTTGTGTCCCTGGGCAAGACACTCAACCCCACTTGGCCTGAAGCTGAAACACCAAGGCTGTGTCTTTGTTGACAGCGCAGCCCTCATCCCGTGGACCCTCCACCTGCAAGAGGATCAGTGAGGGGCAGGTGCTATGAGGAGTGGGTGACAGATCTGATTGCCACCCCCCGACCCCGAAATGGACTAATGAAGTGAATGAAAATGAATGAATGAATGGACGTGTGTGGCTGTACTCACCTGTCCTCAGCAGCACACACATCACAAACACTGAAACACAAACGATTGAGGTTTTGAGTTGAAGCTGGGGTACTTCACTGTGCAAAGACACGTTTAGGCAGGGCCTTTTTTTGTGTTTTCCATGAACATGTGATAACATTTATTATTTAATTTTATCATGCCATATTCAGTCAATATTAGTTAATGCAATTTTAAATTACAACAATGTTGATATTTGTCATGAATTTAAAAAGTATTACTTATAATTTTATAATTTTGACCGAAAAACCTACAGTGTAATGGGCCAGAGTCTTGCCCAGGGCATATTGACTTGAAAGTGCTGCCATATTTATATTCAGTCACATCTTTAAATCAGCTAGGACCAACCTCACTCAGCACCAAAGACTTGACAAGCGATTTACAGGGCTCTTTCTTTCAAGTCATATGCAAAATATAACATGTCCACTAATAAGAAGAAGACAACATGGTCTATACATACTATAGGATATTCCAGCTTTATGTTAAGATAGATAAGTACTTTATTTTCAGACAGGGGTCAAATTTGTTTTGCACAGTTCAGCAACTTCATTCAACATAAAATGTAAACAAATACACAAGAAACACTCGCAATGAAACATCTCAATTTATGATTTAAGCTCCTTATTTAAATTGGTTTGAGAGAGGGGTGAAAGAAGCCATTTTTGTGAGGAAACACAAACCATCCCTTAACAGAGGAGGCGGTTTAAGATTTGTTTTGCCCTGTATCTATGACGACGTCCTAAAAACAACGCCCTATAGATAAGGTCAGTGACATGCAAATAGGTTAGGATCGTTAGGCCCTAGCAGAGTTGTCAGACCTGCTCCATACCACATCTTAACAGACCTTAGATGTTTTAATGAGTTAGCCTCAGGTATAGGGTGTGTCTAACCACACCCACAGGTTATAAATCTCCAACAATTAAGGACGAAACATTGGGAAAACCTGCTAAGAAGTACTGTTGATGGGTGAGAAACCTTCCTTTGCCTTTACATAGGTTTTATGTTTTATTATTATTATAAAAAAGGCTGAAGACCCAAAGGTATTTTTCATTTGTAAATGTTGTCCTCATAATGACATGAAACAATCGGGTTTTCTAAATGTGGTACTCACCCAGAGCAGAGGAGATCATGAGCTGCATCTTCACACGTCTGACCACGACTGAAGGGAACGGTTTTTATACCAGTGCTTTGTGATGTCATCTCATTGTTTCCAACTCAGGACAAAAGAAAACCTTCATAACTTCCTCATATTAGTCTGCAAGATATTCCATTTATCATGTTAAACATGAATTCCCGTAATTTGATGCTGCCATTCTCTTCCTCAAAGTTTCATTCCCACTGATTCTTGCCTGTACAGTTTCATTGTTTGAAAGAATTCACTCAGACAATAGGGGATTTCACACTGGCTCATTTTGACTCTGCTTTCAACACACCTTTTAACTTTTGTCTTTTTCTGAGTCGTGCACAGTGTAAACATATTGGCTAAAGGCCACAGTAATTAAAAACACCAAACTGTTATCATTAGGGCCGTTATGTTTAACTTTCCTATAAGGCCTAAATGCGTCTTTTTGTGGCTCCCTAGTGGACATCAAACTTTAATTTAAATGCGGCCCCCACTGAGAGTCAGTCCAAATATGGCATGTTATACATTACATTTTATCAAGAAAACAACCACACCGTTTATTTTACCATAAACATTTAACCCTGAAAGCAATAAGCAATAATTCAAAGTTAACATTCTTAACCCCAGTCCACGAAACAAAGCCTCATTCTTTTCCGTGCAGTTTTGTTTCCATCCCAGCAGCTGATCTCATCTTGTTCATAGAAATTACATCCAACTCAATTTCAATAAAAGTAAATGAAAGAGCCAAACATGTGCAATAATTGGCCTGTGGGTGGCGCCTATGTGTACACGTTGGCCACCACAATAAAAAAACACTTTCATGATTATAATCATACACAGATACAAAAAATGAACTTTCCACAATTTGGTTTTTCTGCTTTTGTCTCTCCAACGAGCCCAATTGTTTTCTTTCTCTAGAGTCCAGAGCATTGAGCATTGAGCTTTGAGCCTAAAGATTGTGGGTTCGAGCCCCCCTCAAGACCTTCTACACCTACTCCTACTGATGTCGGCTGTCGTGTTCTTGGGCAAGAACCCCACTTTGACTGAAGCCCCCGCTAAAAGATCACGGTAGTGACCATCACCACCTGCAGGGGGATCAGTGAGGGGCTGGTGCTGTGTGACGGGCAGCTCTGATAGTCAGATACAGGCCAGTCTCACGCGGCAATTCAATAAATTCTTGTATAGCCCTAAATCACAACAGTAGTCATCTCGGAGGACTTTGCAAAACCGTTGAAATTGCCAACGCAGATTAGAGACTCAACAATTCAACACAAGAAAATGAAACAATAAAACACATAGAGCCATTAGTCCATAGGGGGCAGTGCATATTTTGTCCATATGAGGAAAAACATAACATGAGAGCAAATCAAAGCAGATATAAATGGATTCCACAATGAATTTATCAGGCTCCATTGAAAACATGAAAGGCTCAACTCTGCTCGAATCACATTTTATATTATTCTTACAATTAAGAATACATATACACTGTATCAATAAAAATCAGTAGCTTTGAGTAGAAAAGTACAAAAAGCCCACATTTGAGCTCTGAAACTGAGTCCATGGTTCCATATAAAATTATAAACATGATTGTCAAAAGAAGAATGATAACAAATTAATTATTATTAAGTGAATAATTACAAGTACAGTTATGGCATACAATTGCACTCTAAAACTGCACTTATGAATATAAACTGAATGTTAGCGCATTAAAAGTACAATGATTTCTGGTAATAGTAGGATTATTAATTTACAGCACAACTCACAGAAAACAACATTCACAAAAACACCTTCTTGTTTATCGTACTGTTCCACAGGGGAATGTGGAACAGTACTATACTCTCCTAGGACAGTGCAGGCCACCAGGGGAGAGCAGGGGACCAAGCACAGCAGGAGGACAGACAGAATCAGATCACAGCATCCCAAAAAGTGTCCCAGTAAAAGTCCAGGTACATTTGGAATGCTCGACTTTTGAGCCTGTCCTAGTGTAAAGACGGCAGAAGGGAAACCTACAACAAACAAAAAACATTCAAAAAATTGCACCATTTATTATCATCATCCTGAACCTCAGTATGTGTTTTTATTTTATTTTGTGACATTAAACAATAATTGTTAAAAATATATATATTACTGGGATTTGAATTTTTTGATTGTTAGTTAACTGCAGTTCATTGGAGTTTGAAAGTAGAGCAGTTTTCGGAGGAAGTTGAAGGATCCGGGCATCTGCTTGTAAAGACCTTTGGCCGAGTTCTGAGACACCTCATGATTCACCTGCGACAAAAACAAAACAGGTTAAACACATATTCTGCATTACTCTTCGACGGAGCATAAGGGGCACATTTAGAAAAACTAACTTAGAGATTAACTAACTAACTAGTAACTAAATCATTATTTACAAGAATAAAGTCATAATTATATCATTATCGACAAGAAGAAAGTAGTAATTAAGTTATTATTTACAAGAATAGCATCTGTCGTATCGAGATATCCCCATTTAAAAGGAATGTACTGAAAATGTTCTTTTTGTGAGGCATCTGTACATCTTTGTGTTTTATGTTGTACAACACAAAGATGAACTGCTCATTCAACTCAAATTAATTTGGTGCAACAAATGAACACTATTAAATTGTGTTGACGACATTTGTTGCATTTTAGAAGTCTGTCTATAAAAAATCCGCCACATGACTTTGGTAACATCAATGCACTGGGCGGGGTGGGTGGGCTTTAATGCAGACGAGTTTGAGATAGCAGCTTTTCATGTGAGTGTGAGTGTGAGTGTGTGTGTGCTTGTTTACATGATGATTTAAATGACATGATTGTGTTACCATCATGAGCATAGTGACCAGGTCGTCCTCGGAGGCTGTTTGTGCAAACACTCTCTCCAGAGTCTCCACGTACCAGGAGCCGGCCTGAGTGTCCCTCCATGACACGTACCCTGGACAGCAACACAAACACACACATATTGTTTATCCAGTATTTCACCATACCTCTTCAAAAACAGACCTGGCCTTGTTTTCAGCGTCAGCAAACTTCCCCTTCTGTCTAAACGCTTCTGTCTCACACTTGACACTATGTTGTCTTACACCAAGTTATATTCAGAGCTGTTTTCTGCCTTTGACAACAAAAGTTGTATCTGTAAATGTGTTTCCATCCACAGGTAAAATTACATTAGTTACAACCGCTTATCTATATTTACAGGACATGTTTAATGTATTATTGAAAGTTGGAAAATTAGAATATTGTTCAAAAGCTCATTTACAGTCCGAGTCCTGGATCTACAGCCTGTCTGAGTGGATCCCTCACTCAGTGAGGGCTTTTTTTAAAAATGTTGCCAATGCAGGAGGATCTAAGGACATTTATCAACATCTTTTAGCATTTACAGAGATTGGTCCTCCGTCCCTTATGGACTAATGGCTTGATGCGATTTTTATTTCCTGTGTTTGAACTGTTTGATTCTCTAATCTGTGGTGGCGAATCAAAGGTTTTGTACGGTCTCTCAAGATAGAGCCGAATATAGTCAAAACAGTTTTACAATTAATGCTGTTGGGCCCAGGACAAGTCTGGTCTCTATCATGTATTGGTTTCACGTTGGTTACATTACATAAATAAATTAACTTTTGATCAATATTTTCAAAGTTTAACCTGTATGTGTTAAACAACATGAAATATCAAATGTTATCAAGTTTAAAAGCTAAACATAATGCATTTGATGTCTCCCTTTATTTCTCGCTCTTTTGACACAAAGTATGATGTAGGTTTGTTTTTTTCTGAGTGGACATAATTGGTAAAAGCCTATACAACAATTTAATTAAATATATTCTTGTATAGCCCTAAATCACAACAGTAGCTCCCTTGGAGGACTTTACAAAACTGTTGAATTCGCCAACACAGATCAGATAATCAATCAGTTCAAACACAAGAAATGCAATGATAGAAAACACATAGAGACATTGGTCCATAAGGGACCAATGTCCATAAATATTAATGAATGTCCATAAATATTTTTGAATATCAAGTGTCCTGGATCATCACCAGACACATTTTCTGTAGTCTTTCAAGTATTTCAAGTATTGAAAAGAGAGTGGTACCGGGAAAGGTGGAGTAGGACACCAGGATGTCACTGGGGGTGGGCAGAGAGGCACGGGCGTCTGGTTCATCATATAGACTGAGGGAGTCACTGCTGGATGAGGAGGGGATGGCATCAGTCTGGTCATCTTCTCCTTCACCAGCAGAGGGCGGCGAGTCCTCAGGAGACACCTCGAAGCCTGTGTCCTTCTCTCCTGCAGCAGAACACACACACACACACACACACACACATTTAACATGAGTTTGAATATTCTTTTTTTTCTGTACGATTTCATTGTTTGTTTGGATTGAACTGAAGATTGAACTGAAGGTAAAGAAGGCTTGTAATTTTAGACTGAAAGGCCAACGATGAAATTCTTATAACGCTTCCTCACTATGTGGTGGGTTAAAATTTTCCAATAAATTATGTGCATGTTTTCTTCTGAAAATGAGTTATTACATGCCATAGTAGCCCATTGTATCTTACTATCAATTCTACAAATCAAATAATAATTCTGGTGTAACTTAGAATTTTATAAAACTAAATATATTAATCAATGCTGGGAGTAATGTATCACAAAAGTAATGTAATTACTGTAATGCATTACTTTTTGCTGTAACACAGTAATGTGCGCAGCCAAGTTACTTCAAAGTAATGTATTACACTACCATATTACTATCTTTGAATTGTAACACATTACACTACTTCTGCAGAATGCAGAGTGTGTTTGCTGTACCTCCTCCGCAGGCCTGGATGAAGAACAGCTTGGGCTTTCCCTGCAGAGAGGGGCAGTTCTGACCGTTCAAGAAGTTGGTGACGTGCTGCACTGGGACAAAGAGGCCGTCCACGCCGTACACCGCCCCAGGGAAGCGGCTGTGACTCACCTACACACAACACCGACTTTTATTATTACAGGGACAGTGTAGAATAAGCGTATGATGAAAGCTTTTTGCTCTTCTCTGATGTCCTGGACTGGTGTGTGTATGTTTGTTTGCAATTAAAAGTTCATTTTAAATGCGGTTAAAAAAAGTGATCTCCCAAGTCATGTCTCTATTTCCTAAACTTGAGCTCTGCGCAGGGCTCTATCAGAGGCAAGGGAGGCACACTTTGTAGAACGATTGGCATTAGTATTAAGTGCTTGCACCTGATTTTTACTGTGTGAAATTAGTTTATTTTAATATTAGGGCTGTCAAAATTATCGCGTTAACTCACGTTAATTACATTTTTCATTAACGCGTTAAAAAAAATTAACGCATTAACGCACGTCCGAATGACCCTCCCATTTATCCATTATCACTCAGAATGCTGCGTGTGAGATGGCATCAGAGCAGGTAGGCCCTCTGGGGATTCATGTTTTAAAAGAATACGCGCGCCACCGCGGGGCTGTTGTTTGCTGTGAACTGAAGTCCGCTTCTTCCGTGGCCGCTCTGACTGTGAGCCGCTCACAACAACACGGCTGTGAGCGGCTGTGAGTGAGTGGCGCCGCGGTAACATGGTCATAAGACCAAACACGCCACAGAACTACTGTCAGCATGTTGTGTTCGTGTCTTTGCAACCTGTGCGTAACCTGTGCGCGCAAATACAGCGCAGGAGTGTCCCTGTCTCCTCCTGAAACTAAACTAAACTGAAACGCTGAATTAAAGCTGGGGTATGTAAATTTCCCCCTTTCATTAACAGCTCATGTTGGTTTTGCCCAAAAGCAAACAGATTTAAGTACATTTGGTATGAATGACAATGTGTCATTATATTTGATAATCTCATTTAACTTCAATTGGAGTAGATTTGAAATAGAATGTTAAAAATGCGATTAATCGTGAGTTAACTCACCATTTCTGTGCGATTAATCAACTAAATTTTTTTTATCGTTTGACAGCCCTAGTTAATATTATTCCTGACCTTACGACACACACACACGTACATACGCATGCACATGTACATACACACCTCTGTCCCATGGGAGAGGATGATAACCACACAGCAGTCGAATGAGGAATGGTCTATTTTGGACAAAGCCAGGAGCTCCTTTCGGATTTGCTGCAAAAAAAACCACAAGAAATAAACAAATAAACAAGACTTGTGCTATTAGTGAAGGCCACATTCTACATATTTGTCTTCATGTTGTCCCTTAAACGCGGTGAAACTTTTACTTTGGCATTTCAATGACAGAAAATCTATCTGCAGCTCTGAGCGTGACGCAACAGGCGACTCAGATTCAGCACAGAGCATTCTGTAGGGAGGGGACCAGTTTATATGGATGAATAGAGTTTTTGATGGAAAATAATCAGTGTAACAATAGGCTTATAATATATATGTATAGTGGCGCCACCTGCAGATGAAAGCCAGATCCAGTCAGACCTCTGAAGCTAAGCAGGGCAGGGCCTGGTTAGTACTGTAATGGGAGAAAACTGGAAACACCAGGTGCCACAGTGGGGTGGTTATAGCAGTAAAAGTGATGAATTGTGGTTGCGTCCTTAGGCAAGACACTTGACCCACATTGCTCAGAATAAGCCTGGTGTGCGCATGAATAATTGGTTGTGGTCAGAGGGGCTGATGGCACATACTAGTTGCCCCAAGGCAGCAGAGGGTACAGCAAAAGTTTATCATCACTGTGTATGGGGTGAATATGAAGCGTCTTTGAGTGGCCAAAAAAGCGCTATATAAAACCATTTGTTATCATTATTATAAAAACAAACATGATTCTGGTGTTGTAAACCTTTTGCCGCAGGTTGGTGGTAACCTTGACGATGAAGTTCATGTTGCTGAATCTCCTTTGCAGTTTCTCACAGTCTGTGTTGGAGCCTGCACGATTGCTCAGTTCACTTTTGGCCTCAAACTCCACGTTGTTGATGATGAGGCAGTGACCACAGGGAGACGCGTCCATTTTGTAACTCTGCACGAGCACACACACATTTACACTTACGCACATACATACACATACCAGGAAATTAGGCTTGTCACCAAAAATGATGCACTTTACAACACTTTGTACACAGAGAATTCTTAGTAACACATCTAAAGTACAAGCACAGAGTGCGTTGCCAAATGCAACAAAATTACATTCAAATCAATGGAACATTCCACTGCTACTGTGAGAAACTGTATAACAAATTATGATTAAATATTCTAATATATTCTAATATTTGAATTGATAATCTCTCCTCGCACGCCTTGAACCATTGACCTGGTGCGTGCACAGAAAAATAGGCATAGACCAATCAGAAAGGAAGGGGGGGAGCTTGGTTCGTTATTTTAAAATCATGTACCTCTCTCTTTTTTTTCTGACAAACTCCAGACTATCACTTTAAATTGTAAATGTAAATGTAATATCCTGTAAAATAAATGTTCACTGAAGATTCTGCATCGGTATGAAAAGTCATCGCTGTGTAAAAAACCCAAAAGAACACTTTTTTGTGGATGTGAATGGATGAGATATTTGTAATAAATGTGGACCAAACAGAGACTTGTTTGTGTCCCTTTTATAACAAAGTCTGAATGCTGGGGAGTGATCCCTCACCTGGATGCTATCTCTGCGGATTCTCTGTGGCTTTGGTCTCAGCGCCTCTCCCTCAGGGGCTGGAACCATCACCATACATCAAACTTCATCATCACAATATCATACATGAATATATTACTTACATGGGCCTGGAGTAGGGCTGGGCCTATGAGTGGGAGTAATGGGAGTGATGGGAGTGATGGGAGTGATGGGTGGAATCAATATTTTCTTGTCCACATCCATTGGGGAAACTGAAAAGGCAAACAAGAAATAAAAAAATACTTCAAAATGCTACCTACTGTAGAAAAAAATAGTAAGTATAGTAAGAATTATACTATATGGTGTAAGACAGGGGTGTCAAACACATTTTGGCGGGGGCCAAATTTTAAAAACGTAAAAGCTGGGAGGGGCAAAAAGTAGAAAATATTATTTTTCTTTTTACATATTTTTGTCTTTTGACAAATTAATTTATTTGACAATAATAATAATAATGCATTGATTTTTATATAGCGCTTTTCAGTACACTCAAAGACGCTTCACATGTCATTATTCCATTACTAAGGCGGCACGGTGGCTGAGTGGATAGCACTCTCGCCTCTCAGCAAGAAGGTCCTGGGTTCGAATCCTGGTCGGACCAGGGCCTTTCTGAGTGGAGTTTGCATGTTCTCCCCGTGTCTGCGTAGGTTTCCCCTACCGCTAAAAATATGTACAATAGGTCTGGCATGCGCCTCCTGTTCGGCGACCCCGCTCCCATCTCTGTGTGGAGTGAGAGGACAAATGCCCAAAAAAATAAGAACAATTGTAAACCGCTTTGTGACCCTTGTCTGTGAAACACATTACTTACTTACTTACTTACTCCATACACGGTGGTGATAAACTAAAACTGTAGCCACAGCTGCCCTGAGGCACACTGACAGAAGCAAGGCAACCTGTATGTGCCATCGGTCCCTTCGACCACCACCAACCATTCACACCAGACTCATTCTAGGCAATGTGGGTGAAGAGTCTTGCCTGACAAGACTCTTTAGGGCACTTTACAGCCGCCCTCCTGTGGCACCTGGTCTTCCCAGAGGTCTCCCATCACAGTAGTATAGGCACTACTTGTACAGTGCAGAGCAGTTAGTTAACATTTTCAATTATATGGTTGTTTTCCTGAGATAACAGGTTTTAAAATGCAGTATAACATGCCATATTATCCCATTATGATCAATGCAGCAATAATAATTGAAAATCCTTTCAGGTGCCACTAAATGGTACCTACTAATGGTCTTGTGGGCTGGATTTGGCTCAAGAGCCTGAGTTTGACATACATGGTGTAAGAGATGACTAGAATGTACTAACACACCCATCTAGTGGTACATGTGCGAAATGACAGACTGCTAAATATAGAACTAAAATTAAGCAGTGTTTGAAGGCATTGATTGAAAAAAACTCATAATATCAATAGTTTTGGAATAATAGTAATTAATTAATTAAGAGACAGATCTGTAGAATTCACCTGTTATCATATCATGTTCCAAAATTATTTAAAGCTGCAGTAATCAAACCACTTCTCAAAAAACCTAATCTTGATCCCTACCTGCTTGCCAATTACAGACCCATTTCCAATCTCCCCTTTATTTCAAAAATTCTTGAAAGAGTTGTAGCCGAGCAGCTACACCGCCATCTACGGGACAATCATTTAGCAGAACAATTTCAATCAGGCTTCAGAGCTCATCACAGTACAGAAACCGCATTAGTTAATGTCACGAATGATCTTTTACTAGCCGCCGATAACGGACTGGTGTCAGTGCTAGTTCTGCTAGACCTCAGCGCCGCATTTGACACGATAGACCATAAAATACTATTACAGAGGCTAGAATGTGACATAGGTGTCAGAGGAACAGCACTTCACTGGTTCGAATCCTATTTATCAGATCGGTTCCAGTTTGTGAGTGTGAACCAAAAATCCTCACTCTGTTCTAAAGTGGCCTTTGGTGTGCCTCAAGGATCAGTACTAGGTCCGGTTTTGTTTACACTTTATATGCTACCTTTAGGAAATATTATCAGAAACCATGACATTAACTTTCACTGTTACGCAGACGACACGCAGCTTTATTTATCGGTGAGACCAAACCAAACAAACACGATAGATAGACTCAGTGCCTGTATTAAAGACATAAAGACCTGGATGACCTTGAATTACCTGCTTCTCAACCCTGATAAAACAGAGGTAATTGTCCTAGGCCCTAAAAGCATGCGTGACGCTCTCCGCGACCAGATCACTAGACTCGACAACGTCAGTATTTCCCCCAGTGACAGGGTAAGAAATTTAGGGGTCATATTTGACCAAGAGCTTTCCTTTCGAGCACATGTAAATCAATCAAAGAAAACGGCCTACTTCCATCTGCGAAATATTGGAAAAATTAGAGGTATCCTGCCGCGAAGTGATGCTGAAAAGCTTATCCATGCGTTCGTTACGTCAAGACTTGACTACTGCAACGCTCTCCTAGCAGCGTGTCCCAAATCCACTATACACGGCTTCCAGCTAGTCCAAAATGCAGCCGCAAGGGTCCTGACAGGCACTAAACGAAGGGAACATATAACCCCAGTGTTGAAAGCGCTCCACTGGCTTCCTGTGGAGTTTAGAATCAAATTTAAAATTCTTCTCCTGACCTACAAGGCGACAAATGGTATGGCCCCCATCTACCTCCAGAATGTACTGGAACCATACCAACCAAACCGTGCACTTCGCTCTCAGGATGCCAGACGCCTGGTGGTCCCTAGAGTGTCCAAAAGCACAGTAGGAGGCAGAGCGTTTAGCTACCAAGCTCCTGTCTTGTGGAATCAGCTTCCTACATCTATCAAAGAGGCGGACACAGTCCCTTTATTCAAGGCCAGACTTAAAACATTCCTCTTTGGATTAGCGTATGGTTAGCTCAGATAGATAACTAGTAACACTTAGGGCTATTTATCCTGCTCCCCTGTGGGCTGGACTTGTATTTTTATTATATGTATATATATATATATATATATATATTTTTTTTTTTTTTTTTTCCCTATTCAACGGTTCTCAATTCACCATGCTTCCTTTATTCAAATGTTAAAATCCCTGTACATACAACTGTTTTTAATGGCCAAACATACACAACTGTTTCTAATTCCCTGTTTTTAATGCACCATACATACACAACTGTTTTTAATGCCCTGTTTTTAATGCACCATACATTCATAACTGTTTTTAATGCACCATACATACACAACTGTTTTTAATGCCCTGTTTTTAATGCACCATACATTCATAACTGTTTTTAATGCCCTGTTTTTAATGCACCATACATTCACAACTGTTTTTAATGCCCTCTTTTTAATGCACCATACATACACAATTCTGTTTTTAAAGCACCATACACACACATACACAACTGCTTTAATGCACCTTTTTTAATGCACCGTACATACACAACTGTTTAGTGCACTGTTGTGACTGCACTTTAAATGAAGCACCAAACTTTTCCCGAACTGTCTTTTCTAATATATATCTTTTTTAACCCGTCATATCCACGGACTGCAGGATAAATAGTTCTCGTTTTTTACAGTTAATTTGTTGTAAATGCTTAAATTTCGTTTTTGCATTGCTGTTCACCTGTTGTCCCTCTCTCTGTTTCATGACGCGCTGGTGGGACTCGAAACCCTGACTCCCTGGACCTGAAGACTGGTCCACAGCCGTTGGGAGTTGGCGGTTCTGTGACGCCCCTTGAGACAACTGTTGTTGTGATTTCGGGCGATACAAATAAAATTGAAATTGAAATACAATCCACACATTGGGCGCTGGTGAGAAAATAAGCAATCATCATTCTGGAAATGTATTGTCGTTTTCAAGTTCAGAATGTATCTATTTTATACAAGTCAGTCGTTCTATTGTTGATGCACTTTAAATTAAAGAAAGCAAATATGCAGCCCGCGGAAATTAAATTCTGGAAGACTGAACTTCTGCCGCCTCCAGGCCTGCCTGGCATCCTTGGCCTATCGCACAGCAAACGCCCATCTCCCGTCAACCAATGCCAGCCAGGCCAGCAACTTAGCGGAGACACCCACTTCTCGGCCTTCTCAAACCTCGCATCCACCGCCTCCCCTCCTCCTCCTTCTTGCCCTTCTTCGAGCGTGCACTTTTCCTGCTGCCCAATTGCCACCACCAGTACCTAGGTCCTGGGGGATCTCACGCGCACACAAACAGCTTAACAGTGTCGCACCGGGGCCTAGGGTGCCAAACATTCTTTAATAAAATACTTCAAATTGCATTTTGTCTCATGAGTCTCTCCAGATTGAAATATATTTGCAGTACTTGCTGGACAATTAAGCTCACCTGTATATAAACTACACCTGCTAAATTTGAAAAGAAAGTACTTTTTGTCCGCATATAGGCCACACTTGAATGTAACCCACAGGTTTTTATGTTGTAATGTAACACTTAACCATTTGGTATGCTTAACGGTTAGCTCGCACCGACTCATCTATTTTGACAATAAACGTTTGAGTCCTATAGCTACTAAATAGATAAAAAAAATCTATAGGAGTCAAAATAATAACTCCATGAACTCCGAATGACAACAGCCAAACTCTACAATAAAAATACATACATTGGCCGCAGGGATCAAAGAACTTGAAACAGTAGAGGCTTATAATCCACCAATTACGGTGTTAAAATATAGCTATTTTGTTTCATTTTTTATCTACTTTTTTTGTAATAAAAAAAATGTGCTTTGTCCCTGATGTAATTGTATGAGCATTAATCATTCAGTGTAACAAGTTTGAGAAATTAGTAGTTTGACAGGGGTGGGCGTTGTTGTGCCAGAAGCTCCTGATTATATGTTACCTCTAGGTCTGTGATGAATAGCAATGCTGAAACATGGTTGAAATCTGCAAAAAAAAAAAAGGATTTTGCAGAGTATGTGTGTGTGTTGTAATGCTTCTGTGTTGGGCTTCTCACCGATGGGCAAAGGCTGTAGCGCTGCTCTAACAACAGGGGGCGCTATGGGCTCCAGTGTACCAAGAGCAGAGCCTTCCCTCAGGGCTTGTGCCAGCTGCGTCTGCCCCGTCTGATCCAAACTCTCCACAAACAGGAGGAACGCTCGGCTGCCCCTGGTCTCGATGTCCCGGGACAGCTGCCGGGCCTGGTCCCGCCTGGTTCCCGCGCTCTACAGCACCACCACCAGAGGGAAGCACACAGGAGTTACTATACAGTCAAAGCAGGAATATTCAACCAGGTTTCAGAAAGGGGCAGCATAGATCCATGATTTAGAACCATGGATCTATGGTCCAGACACATAACACACATTTTTTGTTTTATTTATAATTGAATACAGACTAGCTGATTTGTTTGTACTTTGTGAAAGCCTGAAGGCTAATATATGCTTACATTAGACAAAATAGTTCTAATCCAGGACTAGCCCAAAATCAACAAGTAGCTTCCCTGTAGACAATATATTTGAAAATAGGCATATTTGGAAGATATATAAGTCGCATCATATAGTTTACAAGTTTGCAAGTTGAATAGGCCTGCCTTTGAATTTTGGAAGTGTGCGTGGAGCTTGTGTAGAATACACACAGGGAGACAGACCTGAGCCTGAGGACTGATGAACAGGAGATTCCTGCTTACGTCCCTCTCTAAGGTAAAGATAAAGGTAAAAGTGCACTTTATTAATCACCGTAGGGCAAATCATCCTCTGCATTTGACCCATCGTGATGTCGCTAAGGCTTCGATCAGGGTCAGGAGCAGTGGTTGCAGTAGTACAGCAACCGGAGCACCCTGAGGAAACCTACGCAGGCACAGTACAAAATCCACTCAGAAAGGCCCTATTTCGACCATGATTTGACCCCAGGACCTTCTTGCTGAGAAGCGAGAGTGCTATCCACTCAGCTACCATGCAGCTCTTTGCCCTAAGTATTTCAATGACTTTGCTGTGGTGTTGTTAGCGCTTATATTTTCTCTACTGTTAAGAAGTCACTTTGTTGGTCTGGCCAGTACATAGAGGCCCATTGCAGAGTAAAGTTGGTTTTACGCTAATTTTAGGCCTATAGAATGCATATAATTTATTAATATAGACTATAATTAGTCGATACTATCAATATGAATAGTCTAAATCCCTAGTAATTTTGTTCATTTTTTATTGTGCAACTCAGCAAATTATTAAAATAAATAATACTTTAATTTACCATCAATAAAAGACGAGGCATTTTAATCAACATCAAGATCCGGTGAATATTGAACCCGAATCACATTGTTTGTTGAAGCAAAGGTAATACAAAATGGGATCGCAGTAGATGAGAAGATGTGAACAGTAGAACACTGTGATGGACCATTGGATGTTATGGTTTATTTATATCACAACCACTTGTTCGTCCATACAAACTATAATCAAATATGGGAAACGACTAAAAAATAGCAAAGTGGCTATAATCATCTAATAATAAGACGTGCTAAGGTATATATTATGATGTAGCGTTAGTGCATAAGGAGCGAAGTCACAGTTGGAGTATCAAATAGTTGTCGTTGTAATGCCATTTAAAGAAGTATAAAACATACAACGACCCAGTGTGTGACAAACAGTTTGTTCGTGTATTCGCAATACCCCTGTGATCTCACCTTAATCTCGTCGATCATGTCCTGAGTGAAAACCCCCTTCTCCAGAAGCAGATCATACAAACAAGACGGCTCCAACTCTTTCACAAGGCGCGTTCTGTTCCGCTGCAGAAGCTTTTTGTGCCGTTCGTCCATTTCACGTCTTTTAAACTGCTACAAATATACACGAAATTACGGATTGAGGTTGTTTCTATAGATCCATGGGTTGTTTACAGTTTCTGGGCGCATTGCGAGCTGAACTTCCGTGTTTACATCACTGTTGCCTGTGATTGGTCGGTGGTTTGGGTGCGTTGAATCTAAGCACTGGCGTCACCTCAGATTGTGAGGTAATCACAAGGTAATCACAATCACATAGTCACAATTATGATAATAATAATAATAATAATAATTATTATTATTATTATTATTACCACCACCACCACCATTATTACTGGTATTATTTTTATTATATTATTGTTGTTATCATTATTTATAATGCATCGGATTTATACATGCTTTACATGTACAGTACAGCACAACCAGTTTGTGTCATCAGCCCTTCCAACCGCCAACCATGAAGTGTCCCCAGACGTCTCTCATCATTGTACCAACCATTGACTGTACAACCAGGGTCTGTTTATTTTTTTTGAACATTATTAGTATGATTATGCAACAGCTGTGTGAACAAGCATTTCTAGAACATATTAAATCAATACACCCGACAACCCAATATCTACACTAAATCAAATAATAGAAATAATCACAGCACGCAAATCCCTACTGCTTACATAAAAAAAAGAAATATGTTGTTTTCAAAGCGCTTTACAAAACAAGAAAGGGAAAAAGATTAACACAAACAGGTAAGGCAAACACATACATATAATTTATTTTAAAATAATCTAAACTGCCATGCTCTTAAATTCCTTCATACAGGTTTTTATGGGTTAGCCATGCTTTTAAGTTCAGCAACAGTCCTTCTATGGGACCACTATTGCGTTGGATTTATAAATATATTATATATGGTTGAACTGAAGAACACACCATTATTTTTATATTTGTGTGTTAAAGTGAAAGGTGGTTAAATCAAACGCAACTGAGCCGATCGTACAAACTCCATCTCCCATAATTCCTCTCGCGTCTGGGATAGACATAGACGCTGGAGGATTTCGGATGCGACTGTGAGCATCCTTCAGTCAAACCCGTGCCTTCCTTCGGACTTATGCTGCGGTTGGACGAACATGAACCACGCGTATTCAGTCATGCATGTGTGCAGCTCGGGGCCACGACCACAGGTGAAGGCGTTTAACAGTCCTCTCTGCGCCAGTAGCTCAGCCAGTCTATGAGGAATAATATTTACAGTCCATGGTGGGGACCGTCATGGAGGATGTATTATAATAACGATTTGGACAGTCACATATAGGATTTGCCAATGCATTACAGTGATACGTGTAACTGCAAACTTATATGCAAATCAATCTGGCTTGCGAATCAATCATGAGCCATTTGTAAGGTGTGGTGTGGTAATTGTATGGTGGTTCCTGTGTTCCTAAATATAATGACCTGATGCCGAGGCTGAGAGTAAAATCGTATAACATCATTGTGGACTGCAGTATCCATGTATATCACAATGCATATTGTTTTATTTGTTCATATATTTATTAGTTTTCCTACACAAAAACACCAACTTACACAGGTGTTTAGCATAACGACAGTATTGTACAAAGATTTACATACATGTAACCAGTAGAGTGACACGTAATTCCTTTCCCAATTTCCCGAGATAAATTACATAAAATGTGACAAACATTGAATGGAAAACTAATTTCAAGTCCAAACTGTTTGTGTTTTACCACCATATGTGCTAAACAAAACCCATCACATTGAATGAACAGGTGAACAGAAATCTACACCTTTATCCACGCAGAAATGGTTTGACTTTATGCAATCTCCAATGTAAGAGTATTCTTCCTGGCACAAAAAGTCATAACACTACAATATACTGTGATGTCTAATAATGATGAAGATTTTGGACGTCAAAAGTTCACATGGCACCAGTTGTGCAATTTCTCACACTTAAAAAATCGAGATAATCACATCAAAAGGGTCAAGAACGGTGATCAAAAATCCCAGAACCACAAGGGGGGACCTAGTAAATGACCTGTAGAGAGCTGGGACCAAATTAACAAAGGCTACCTGCCATCAGTAAGCCACCAGGGACTCAAATCCTGCAGTGTCAGATGTGTCTCCTGCCTAAGCTAGTACATGTCCAGGCCCGTCTGAAGTTTGTTAGAGAGCATTTGGATGATCCAGAAGAGGATTGGGAGAATGTCACATGGTCAGATGAAACCATCAGCAAGGGCATTGAAGATGAAACGTGGCTGGGTCTTTCAGCATGACAATGATCCCAAACACATTGCCCGGGCAACAAAGGAGTGGCTTCGTAAGAAGCATTTCAAGGTCCTGGAGTGGCCTAGCCAGTCTCCAGATCTTAACCTCATAGAAAAACTTTTGGAGGGAGTTGAAAGTTGTGTGGCCCAGCGACAGCCCCAACACATCATTGCTCTAGAGGAGATCTGCATGGAGGAATGGACCAAAATACCAGCAACAATGTGTGAAAACCTTGTGAAGACTTAAACATTTTTTTTTTAGCTCTGTCATTGCCAACAAAGGTTATTGACTAAATACTTACTTTCCACCATGATTAGCAAATAAAGTAAAACAAAAAACAGATGTGATTTTCTCTCTCAGTCTGTCTCTCATAGTTACCTATGTTGAAAATTACAGGCCTCCCTCATCTTTTTAAGTGGGAGAACTTGCACAATTGGTGGCTGCCAAAATATTTTTTGCCCCAGTGTATGTCTTAAATGTCTCTATGAACCCCTTGTCACGCCTTGGAGAAGGGAGAAGCTGACCAGTATGAGTGGGTCTATATTCTGTACATAAATGCATGTACTTCTTTGCAGCAGTGATGGCAATGCACAGGATGCCTCTCTCCTTCCTGTTCCTCTTCCTCCTACTGCCCCTGGTCCACCCCGCTCTCCCTGGACCTGACCTGGACCCGTACACTGTCCTGGGTCTGAGCCGCAAAGCCAGTCCAGCCGAGATCAAGAGGGTTTACAAGCGACTGGCAAAAGAATGGTCAGTAAATTCTTTCATCATCATAAAAAACAGAACTAGTAGTATTATGATCATAGGGACTACAGGTGGAAATTCTTTGCTATAACCTGGTACAGTGCATCTCTCCTTTGTGTTCATGTTTAATTGTACACTGTCCCTGTTCAAATAAAGTACATACTATACTATACTACTGTTCAGGGTGATTGAGATGTTGTAATGGATTCAGTCCTGTCAAGACAAATCGCTTGACAAAATAAGGGGCAAAAACAAGTTGGTTTTTCTTGGTCAACAACTGTGCCTGCGGTCTTCAAAATGTTCCTCACAGTTGAAACTGAAAGCTTAAATCTCTGAGATAGTTTTTTGTATCCTTCGGCCTAAACCATGACATTGAACAATGTTTGTTTTCAGGTCATTTGGGAGTTATTTTAAGGCTCTTACGTTGCCACTCTTCAGAGAAAGTGCAAAGAGGGAAAACACTTAAAAAGGCAGACTTAAATACCTTTTATCATGATTGGATTCACCTGTGTATGGCGTCACTGAGCTTACAAAACCACTAAACATGAGTGAAACCCGCCCTAAACCTAACCCCCTTGGGATTCCTTTACCCTCCACATAACAGTGGGACTATGTGACCGTTGAGTACATTTTTGGCGTCGTAGTTCTAATAGTTTACTGTCTGTTTCAGTTAAAATGGTTGTACATTTTGTTACTTTTGTTAGATCAATGCAGTTTATCTTATGTTAAATAAATTATTTCTATGTTTTATCTTTTTATGAAATACTGATCCAAACAGCTGCTTATAAGTGTGTTAAAAAGTCATTTCCAAGTTTCACCATCCCAGCCACAGGGTTTGCGCCAACTAACTAACAATCATCATCATGAAACATTTCTGACTTTTAAGCTATTTTTGTGTGTGCTAAAATCCACACTTGAACGTATATTTTTCACAGGCACCCAGACAAAAACAAAAATCCTGGAGCTGAAGACATGTTCATCAAGATCACCAAGTCTTATGAGGTCAGTCGTGGTCACAACTTCACACCACAAGAGGAAGAGTACACTTTACAGCAGTGGCCAACCATTTAACTATGTGTAGCATTACACAACTCCGTTCTTACTTAAAGGTACACTGCGTGGTTTTTACTCCCATTTAGCGTTAAGTTCATTTATTGGCAAGGCAAGGGAAGGCAAGTTTATTTATATAGCACAATTCATACACAAGGCAATTCAAAGTGCTGAACAAAACAAGAAAGCATTAAAATTGCAGTTTACTTTTTTTCGGCAACACTACGGTTGCTTCGATGGACAATATGTCGTCTCTGACAGTGGTCCCCAACTCCCGGTCATTCCAACTGAGGCCAGTCTTTTGGTTTGATAAATCACCGGGTCCCTCCATACATCTTGGTCACCGGACACGGTAGCACTAAAATGTAAACAACCACCGCACGTGCGTAGAGGCGGACATGTAATTGTGTTCTGAAGCGGCACCAATAAGCTGCACAGAGGAAGTTTTCCAAACGCGGTGTAAAGAGACGAGACAGAGGAATGGTTTTTCTGTGGTAGCTTAAAACCACAATGACCAAAAGAGGTCAGGACATTGCCTCGGACACAGCCGCAGCAGAACTGTGGCTAAAAGCTCAGATTATTTTTAGTTTTAGCTACAACGCTGCATCCGCATCATGGTAAGAAAACTGTAGCATAACATTCAAACTCACGCTATTGATAAACGTAATTTGACTATTGTTTTTCGGGGATTCTGTATATTAAGCTGTATATAGGCTTGTCCCCTGAGTAAGTTGAAATACTGTAGTTGAAACTTGTGGACATAGTAGTTGGATTAATGCTCGGAGCGGGTCAGAACATCCTGAGACCCATGTTGCAGATTCTGCCTCGTTCTCATTACTGTTGGAGTGAAGAAAGTTACGTATTGTTCACGTGTGCACATGTTGTGTAGGAACAACACAATGTGCCTCCTGTTGTTTTAACTGTGGTTTGCGATATTGACAGTTTGCTGTTATAAGGCCGTTTTTTGAATTTTTGCATAAGTCTTTTTCTAAATTATTGTTGTTTGGGTAGTTCTTTTACATTACTATGGTCCTCCATGATCCATTCTTCAAACTTGTGAGGGCACGGTGAAAACGCAATTCGTGCATCCTTTTTGCCCCATATCAACCACTGTATTTCAAGATGGTGCATTGACATGGAGAATCGGTCAGCACTAGATCATATACGGAATCGGGACGGAAGCGGAAGTAAATATGACCTTCTACCTATTCATGCCTAAACTTAACCAGCCATTCCCATAAAATAACCCCAACCCAGCCTTAACCCTAACCTTAACCATCTTACTCAGACGCCTAAAACTTAACCAGTCTTAAGGACTTATTAGTCTAGAACTGATTCGAAAGTAGGATTGTTTCGTCCCGATTCCGTATATGATCTAGTGCCGACCATGGAGAGTCCTCCAGCTCTCATGGACATTTATAAGTAGAATTCTAAGACTATGGCAACAATTCAAAAATTACAGTTGATTATTTTTTTTTTTTATTCTCATTTGTTATGGTTAACATGTTTTTTTTTCATTTGGAGCAACTGTAAGTACCTTTAAGAAGAAATAAAATGCATTGTTTTTGGCCATTCAAAAATTATGAGAGCATTTACTTTTATATTGTTTTATAATTTAGAATGTGGAATAAGAAGTTAAGAGATAATATATGGTGAAACAAGTATGAAGGGTAACGATCTATGCTACCACCTGAGGGAGGGGGTGAATTTGTTCACACTAAAAAATTTATATGAAGAAAATAATTTTGCCCACGAAATTGGGGGTAATACTTTTAAAACTTTTAATACTGCTATAGGACTGAAATGGGAGCTTTAAGACAGAAGGAGTGGAGTTACATATTTGTGCCTGATATTCACAAGGATGGATTTAAAAACAACTCCAGGTCTGTAGCTGATGAGACACAATGTTGTAACAAGCTCAGAAAAGTCATTTATTAAAGTCAATATATGTCTACGTAGTACTTTAAGAGACTGGTTGACATATGTTCACTTGTTTGGTGGTTTAGCCCAAAGTGAACCAGACCAACAGGTGACGTGCCCTATGAGTATTCCAGCTAACGCACTCCTGTCTCTGTAGGTTTTATCCAACGAGGACAAACGCACCCACTACGACCGTTACGGGCAGCTGAAGGACACGCAGCCGTTCTTTCCGCACCGTGAAGGATTTACGTTTGACCAGACCTTCCTCCACTTCCCTTTCAAAAACCAACGCGACTTTAGCGAGCACAAGCACGGCCTGCACTTCACGCACTATGTCCAGCGGGTGGTGCCAGAGAGCCACGTGCGGCCCTACCTCATCAAGGTCATCTCTGACTGGTGTTTCAACTGTATCCACATCGAGCCCGTGTGGACCGAGCTGGTGCAGGAGCTGGAGGCACTTGGTTAGACTCCTACTGCTGTGAATAATATAAAATCAGGAATAATATTTCTTAAAAATACATTGATTGATTGCAGTAAGCGATTTTGTTAGCTTAGCCGTAGCACCAACTTGAAACCACTCCCCCCTTTTCCCTCGCCTCTCCACCTATAGGCATTGGTCAATTCCATTACTATTTGAAAACACATGATAACTTGACTACTTTTAGGGTTTAGGGACGTTTTGCCACAATATTTAAAAAAATGCGTCTGGAAACAATTTGCATCTTTAAAGCTGGGCTACCTAACATTCCTATTTATATTAACTAGTTGGATTATGCCTATTGTGCATGTTTTTAGTTGGAGAAAAGTGAAAAATCAGCTCTCAGCTCTCAGCCCAAAGTGTCAATAGTGATTCACAGGGCTGTAGTATGGGAAAGAAAACATGTTGTAAATGTAGTATGATGTGGTCTAATTTATTCACAACATTTCATTTTGTGAACTTTTAGGGTAGTGAGACGAGTGGATCATTCAAACCATGTGATTTCCAAATGAGATGAACAAGACCGATGCATTAATGTCTGAATTAATAGAGGCCATATTTTAGTTTTAAAAGGTAGGAAATTCTTCTGACCGTGACGTTATAGTCTGAGGATTTGTCATTGTGTTTGAAAACAAAGAGTTTTGACAGAAGGTGCAGTTGTAGTCGTTCCTGACAGTACTGTTCTCCACGTGTCAGTAGAAGTTTCCCTGTACCTCCAGAAACATTTACTACATATATAGAAACTTGCCTTGAGCTTAGACCCTGACTATTTACAAATTCTGCTCTCTTCTTGAAAATAATATTTTGGAGAAAAAAAAAGTGCCCATTGTGTTTTAAGCATAACAGTTTAAACTTTTGTTTAGAAAAGGTCAAATATGATTTGTACTTGTTAACCTGATTAATTATGCAGATGAAATTTAAATTGAACGTTATATACAATCTCTGTAAATCACTGATGTGTCTTTTGTGCATATTCCCTGCTCCTGAACATTGTAAAGCGCTTTGGATGACCTTGGTCTGAAATATGTGCTATATAAATAAACATTACTTACTTACTTACTTACTCTAGGTGTGGGAATTGGGGTGGTGGACGTGGGTCTGGACCGGCGTCTGGCCAATCATCTGGGAGCCCACCGGACACCCTCCATCCTAGGCCTGGTCAGCGGCCGAGTGTCCTTCTTCCACTATGCTGTGACCAAGGAACTTCTGCTGCAGTTTGTGGAGGAACTGCTGCCTCCCAGACTAGTGGACAAGGTCAGTACTACATGACATCACTTATCATTTACATATGTGACATGTTGCTCCTGTGGAGTCTGGGCAGCTCTATTTCTCACAGAGCTGACCTGGCAGCTAGCAGAAAAGGTGTGTGTGTGTAACTTGTATATATGTTTCAGGTGACTGATCACACTCAGGCTCAGTTCTTGGGAAGTTGGCACCAGCTCAACCAACCTCACATTCTGTTGTTCGACCAGGCGCCCTCCGTGCCCCTGCTGTTCAAAGTGAGTGCTGCAAGTGGATGTGGACACTATTAAAGTGGTCCACATCAATCTACATGAGTGTGGCATTATGTGTGTGGCTGTTTTTCAGATCAATAAAAAAAAAAATCTGTGAATTTTCTACTGAAGAAATGATTTCACATTTTGTTTTGTGTTTTTTATTTATTGGTGAAAATACAGACATACAATACAGGTGCAGACATACAAACAAATGTCAGTGCCTTTGTACAGACAAGAACAGACAACATTTTGGACATTTACATGGGTGAGTGTGTGTGTTTGTGTATGGATGAGAGCACTTATCTTAACGGTTTGATGCATCCACCCATCTCCCTCTTTGTCACAATTTTTACCATCCTTTTTGTAGCTAGGATTTTGCATTCTAAACGTTGCATTTTAGTTCATTTTATTTACTAAAATAATCTAGGTGAAATACAATACTCCAGTACTGCCAAAGCAATATCTCAAACTCAAGTAATTTTATTTTAACTTGTGTCGTGTAGGTAAAATGTTTATTCCAATGTGTGAAAAACTCGCCAGTCTACAGTTGTGATCAAAACAAAGTTGTGATCACAAACACACACAGGAAGAAATTTAGATTTAAAAATGTCATGAACGATAACACAAACACTTTTTGTCACTCAATGTTTGTGGTTGTATGAAGCCATTTATTTTCAAGTGATAATGACGTTAGAAACTCTTCTTCTAGCAGTGATTCGAAGTTTCCATCCCCCAGTTTGCAATACTCGTGTATTGTTCCTTTAACATCTATGACAGCAGTCCTTTGTGATAGTTGTGGATGAGGTTCTTTATCCTCTCCGATTGTAAAGCATCTGGTTCCTGTTAATTCCTGGGCCGCCTTGAACTGCACGTTTGAAATCTTCCCAGAGCTGCTCATTTAAATTAGAATTTGAAAATATAAAACACATTATTTAAGGTTTCACACAATCACTAAGGATAAGTGCAATTTCCGAAATATGGACAATGACTGGACAGTGTGTAAACCTTCCAACCCCACTGAAAACAAGTGGTTGAGCTTTCCCTTCTGTGTCCTCTGGCCTCATATTCTTTGTGTCACGTGTGTTTGTTGTGCAGCTTGCCGCCTTTACCCACAGACAGTATGTGCGTTTTGGATACGTGGACCAGAGCCTGTCGGACACCTCTGAGCTCCAGAAACGATTCAGCATCAACTCGTACGCTGCCACCATGCTGCTGTTCAGGGAGGGTGCAGACAAGCCGGCCGACATCATACAGGTGCAAATATTGTACAATATCTCAAACTATTGATGACTGTACCACAATGTTTCCCAACAGGGGCACGCGAATACCTTGGGTGTGGCAGGGCTATTACAGGGGGTACATGAAATGATAGGTCATCCATCCATCCATCCCTTTTCTTCCCCTTAATCCATTTCTGGGTTCGGGGGGTGGCAGTCAGAGCTGCACCCAGTACACTTAGCACCAGCCCCTCACTGATCCTCCTGCAGGTGGTGGGTCCACAGGTGGTGACACCTGGTCAAAACTTGCAAAATATTGGTCAAAACTTGAAAAATATTGATTGTAACAGCCACGATCTGTTTTGCTCAAGCCTCCAGGAAGAGAGATGAGCGAGCATGAAAACCACAACTTTTTAAAATAAAAATCTTATTTTCAGGCCAAAGATGTGCTCCGATTTCCCCTACCACTAAAACCATGCACAATAGGCATAATTCTCCAGTTACGGTATTCCTGACTAAACCGAGCCTCAACACTCGGCACTCAACCACTGCTCCTGACAGAAGTCCTAGTAGCATGGAGGATGGGTCAAATACATGAGACAAATTTTCCTATACTTTTTTTGTTACTGCAGATGGCGCATGGCGCAGCTGGGTGTGGCACCACTGGGTGTGGCACCACTGGGTATGGCACCACTGGGTGTGGCACCACTGGGTATGGCACCACTGGGTGTGGCACCACTGGGTATGGCACAGCTGGGTATGGCACAGCTGGTTGTGGCGTAGCTGGGCATGGTGCAGTGAAAGGGCTTTTCTTTATTAACGAGGATTTGAATTTGCTGCAACAGTCGTGGTGCAGAGGATTTGAGCAGATTATGGCTAGAATTTGGCTGTAAGAGGTTATTGTGGGCTATATTGTGGGCTTGTACGTCATTTTAAATCCAATTTTCTCAATAAGGTAATCACACATTTTTTTTTATTTATCTCTGGTCTTTCTATGGTCTCTCTATGATTTCTCTCTGGCCTCTTGCTCTTAGGCCTCTCTCTGGCCTCTCTCCAGTCTCTCTTTCTGGCCTCTCTCTCTGGTCTCTCTCTGGTCTCTCTCTGGTCTCTCTCTCTGGTCTCTCTCTGGTCTCTCTCTCTGGTCTCTCTCTTGTCTCTCTCTCTGGTCTCTCTCTGGTCTCTCTGGTCCCTCTCTTGTCTCTCTTTCTGGTCTCTCTCTCTTGTCTTTCTCTGGTCTCTTTCTGGCCTCTCTCCAGTCTCTCTTTCTGGCCTCTCTCTCTGGTCTCTCTCTTCTCTCTCTGGTCTTTTTCAGGTCTTTCTCTGGTCTCTCTCTTGTCTCTCTGGTGTGCTAAGTGATGAGGTGCAGGTGTGCTGGCCATGCCTCCACTAGATCTTAACACTACTGTCCAGATTTCTCAGGAGGGAAGGGGGAGCACAAACATATATCCTAACACATTGTTTGCATTTCCTCACTGCCTGTGTAATGATTTGCCTCTGTGATATTGTCCTTTCCTACAGGTGAAGCAGCTGAAGCGGCCGATCGTGGACGACTTTGTCTCAAACAACAGGTTCCTGAACGCTCCTCGCCTCGTGAACCAGAAGATGTTTGATGAGCTGTGTCCCGTCAAACAGTTCCACCGGCGAAGGAAGTGAGAACTTTCATCACATTTCTTTCATCTATTTTAAAGGACTGCACTATCTGTTTAAGGCTGGGAGAGTTGCATGTTGTTTGTTTATGAACAAATCAGACCACAGCATGCTGTCTTCATCTAATTACAAAATGCTTGATCTGTTGCATACTTGCAACAGATCAAGTCACTATTTGACTGTGAGTCACTATTTGACTTTTTGGGCTTAGAGCTGATTGAGGTGTGATCCACTCTTTTTCTCTTTTCTGTCTGAAAGGAGGCCAGTAATATATTTATGTGAAAATGAAAGTTACGACTGTAAACTACGGTTCTATGAATCCTGGGTGACTGTCAGAGGCGGTGCTCTGGAAGGATGAAATAGAACTGTTTTAGAGCCAAGAATTAGTGACATGGATATTTTACATAGTTCCATTTTTAAATACCCCAGCTGTAACTTGGCTAAAATGACTAAAAGAATTGCATTCACAGCAAATAATGAAATGTTCTATAACCTTAGAGAGGTTTTCAATGTGACACAAATAACATTAAACAAAAAGCAAAACACTGAATTACTAATGTAATGTATTACAGATACATCACATTAGTAATGGGTATAAGCACCCATTATTCAGGTGCGTATCCTGAATAATGGGTGTTATCTGCCAATCTGCTACTATTACTGCAACCTACTACCACAATCACTATGAACAGCATTCATGTTAAAGCTGGGTTAGCTCACTTTTTGTTCTTAAATATTTTTAGAAAGATCCCTGTGAGTCAATGTTGAGGAGTTGGCGTAGAAAATAAACTGTTGCACAAGCAATGGGCACGTGAGGTGGAAAAACTGGAACTCTAGTCTTTTCTTTTTAACTGTACGGCCCAAAATGATTACTAATGAGGAGCAGATTGATGTACTCCAGGCTTTCGTCTCCTTTGCCTCCCAGCTCTCTTCTCTGACCCCTCCTCAGGTTCTGTGTCCTGCTGATCACTGATGAGGAGCAGACTCTTGGACTCCAGGCTTTTGTCTCCTTTGCCGCCACAAACTGCAGGGAGGTTCTAAGGTTCACGTACGTTTACAGACGCCTGCAACAGCCACTCTGTGAGGTCCTCATGCACGACGCCGCCCTCCTCCCCCCACAGGTCAGATTGAGTACTGCAATGTACTGTATGTATAGTCATGTGGAATGCAGTATGTGCTCAAGTTTGGCTGTTTTTGAGTATCTTAGAGTATCGTAGAGACCGGCTTGTCTCCCAATGATCACTGCACTGCTCTGTGTCCGGTGCGGCAAAGTTGATCAATGTTCATCTCCTGCAGTCCTTGTTCTCTGCCGCACCGTTGTACTCTGCTGCTGCGCCAGACATACGTGCATGCTACAACACATATTAACGGCCACAGCTGGTGCATTGATGTAGCGTAGCTCCTCCAGAGACATACAGTATAACAGGAGCATCTGCTCACTGAGCTGCGCCACGGATATACTGTATTATTAACCAGTACTTCTGCATCAGCGAACTCGTTAGCAGAAATTGTATTTTCTGTTCAAGTTGTTAATATCAATAAGTCTGAAAAACAAGAGGACAGGGAAATGTGGTTGAAGTGGTGGTTAAATTATAAGAGAATAAGCTTCATCCTGGACCTGGTGCAGCGTTTACCTCACCCCTTCACAGATCGGTCGATTAAGTTAAAGAGATCCTTCATTCATCCGACAGTGGGGAAATGTCAGTGTAAATGAGGAGCACACAGCACAAGATAAATGAACAATAACTCTGCACTAAAATTAAATAAAATACTAACGTTGGCATAAAAAGAAGTATGAAATACTGTATATTCTATGTAGTGCAAGAAATATATAATTTTATGTATACATCTGTACATGTTAGCAGCATGAGGGTATTGGACAAAGGGACTAATAATGTCAGAAGGTACAATATGAAACCACTGTGTCCACTGTCACTTTACTTTTCTCATCTGTGCAATAATGATATCAGAATGTACAATATAGAACCACGTGGGTTCATTGTCACTTTACCTAAAATTATTATTGCAGAGATGAGTAAAGTAAAGGGACAGTGGATACATGCGGTTTCGTATGAATGAGAATCAGAATAATTGTTATTGCGATTTTTTATGCAGTCAGGTTGGCATTGTTTGTTAGTCCTCATTGTTTTGTCGTTCAGTTGTATAGCTCCTCTGGGCATAAAGTCTCCCAGTGTAGCAGTTGTGGTGGTGTTTGCACAGGTGCTGATCCTGGAGCGCCGAGCTGAAGCAAAAGTCCTGTTCACACCTGTGTCTCAGTGGAATGGGACAGAAGAGGACCAACTCCACCTGCGTGAGGCGCTACTGAGGCTGCAGGCTGATCCATCCATCCTGAAGCACGAGTCCACACTGCCCCCAATCAACAACGAGTTTGCCTCTGTGAGTTTGTATGATATGCTCACATCTTTCACACCATGTTCTGTTAAAAGTGTGTTTACAGATAAAGCTGGGTTACCTAACTTTCAAACCTTGTAAAAATTGATGAAATTCATGACACTAGTTCCTCGCTCTAAAACAGTTTGCTTCTATCACTAGTTTTCACATACATGTATTTTCAATTTAATTCAATGTATTCTTATATTGCCCTAAATCCCAAAAGTAGTTATCTCAAAGGACTTAACAAAACTGTTGAATTCGACAACACAGATCAGACAATCAAACAGTTCAAGAAGATGGCGCCTGTGTTAGGCTGCGCGTCGGTCACCTCCCTGCTCTCTCGTGCATTTGTAATCCTTGTGATTTTTCTTGTGTCAACCCTTCCAACTACTAACTATGTCTCTGCAATTATACAATATGATCAGGCCGCGTTGTTTCGCATTAAGGCTCATATGCAGGACTTTTGCACTACCTGGGACAGATTCTCAGAGTCATTCCCCCCTAAACCGGAGTGTCATGCGTCATCGCTGGAATACTTGCTGCTTAGCCGGCGCCGTGGAAGGAGAAGGAAGCGGGGATCCAGGGCTGGGTTCCATGTCAGGAGGAGGATGTGGCGATCCCGCGGTTCTTTACCCGGGCTGAACGGATCCGGAGCTCCTGGGAGTATGCGGTGCCTGAGGTTCGTTCCGGTCCGTGCGCCACCGCCTGTGTGGAGCTCCTCCGACCGGGTCTTCCCTACCCGACCTGCTGGCCATCGTTCGCCTCGCCAGCGTGTCCTGCGCCCGGTTACCTGTCAGACGGATTCTGCCATCCAGCCTGTCCCAGGCCAGCCCTCGACACGCACGCGCACCACCAGGATCGCACTTCTCAACGCGCGCTCTATTACAAACAAAGCTTTTATTCTGAACGACCATTTCACTAAGGAGTCCTTGGATTTTATGTTCATCACAGAGACTTGGCAGCGGGAGAACGAGCACGTTCATCTAAAAGAGCTATGCCCCCCGGACTGCTTCGTGATTGGAACTCCGCGACCCGCGCGCCGAGGAGGCGGCCTCGCGCTAGTCTTCTGGGACTCTTTCTGTTGTAGTTTAATGGTGCCAGCTTCGTTCGACTCCTTTGAGCTGCAGATGTGTAAGGTTGGAAAAACTCACCCCTTTTACTGTGTCTTAGTTTACCGACCTCCTGGCCCTGCACGCACATTTCTTGATGATTTCTCTGAGTTTTTAACGTCTATCATCAAACTAGATAGCGTTGTAGTCCTCGGTGACTTTAATCTACATATTGATGACCCTTCATGTTTGACTGCAGCTGAACTGTTGTCTATCATGGACTCTTTCAATTTTGAACAGCACGTTTCTGGCCCCACACATAAAAAAGGTCATACGCTAGATTTGGTTTTCTCCTGTGGCCTGTACATTGACAATCTGAGTGTTGAGGAATTCCATGTTAGTGACCATTGTAGCATTTCTTTTAATCTGTCACTTATCACGATGCCCACTGTTTGTAATGCTGTAACACAAAAACGCATCATTAGTGAGGCAACATCTAGTGATTTCTCTGCCTCTTTTGACCCTCGCTCCTTTGCTGACTGTGATGATGTTGATTCCTTTGTACAAAGTTTCAATAACCACTGTTTGTCCATATTGGATATGGTAGCACCTGTTAAAACGATTTTGGGTTCACACAAAAAGGCCCTCCCATGGATGATTGATAGCATTCGTAATTTTAGGAGAAAATGTCGGAAGACAGAGCGTCTGTGGAAAGCCACTAAATTAGAGGTACATAGACTCCATTTAAAGGAAATGATGCTGGATCTGAATGAGTTGATAAAGCAGGCTCGCTCAGCTTATTTTTCTAACCTTGTGTCAGGAAATAAGAAAAATCCAAAAGTCCTGTTTGACACCATTGAAAATCTAACTGCACCTCTGGCTCCTCTTGTGCCTGTGTACACACATGAGGACTGCAACAACTTTTTGTCGTTTTTTGTGAACAAAGTACGAGACATTAGGGCAAGTGTTAAACCCCCCCTCGTTAGCGCTTGTTCTATTGATTTCTCTCCGGTGTCGTCTTGGTCGTCCTTCACTCCTGTCAGCCTACAGGATGTGAAGACCTTAATAGGAAACATGAAACCGTCTTCAAGCCCCACCGACATTGTCCCAACACCTCTGTTGTTGAAAATGTTCGATACTGTCGGCCCCTGTGTGGTAAAAATTATTAACCTGTCGCTTGCATCTGGCTTCTTCCCCAGCTGCTTCAAACACGCTGTGGTAAACCCAATCCTTAAAAAGCCCAGTCTTGACCCTTTAGAACCTAAAAACTACAGGCCCATATCAAAACTTCCATTTATTTCAAAAATTTTGGAAAAAGTCGTTGCGTGCCAGCTGACCTCCTTTATGGAACAGCACAACTTGTTTGATACTTTTCAGTCAGGTTTTCGAAAATTACACTCCACTGAAACAGCTCTTATCAGAGTCTCTAGCGAGGTGATGATGGCAGCGGACTCCGGCCGCTACACTGTACTCGTACTTCTCGACTTGACCTCTGCTTTTGACACTGTGGATCACAGTATACTGATCAACCGGCTTCATAATGAGATGGGACTATCTGGATCTGTCCTCCAGTGGTTCTCTTCCTATATTCAAGGCAGAACCTTTAATGTTGCTGTAAACAATGTACAGTCAGATGCGACCAATTTGTCTTGCGGAGTGGCTCAAGGATCAGTTTTAGGCCCTATTTTGTTTTTACTGTACATTTTGCCACTTGGTCAAATTATCGGCTGCTTTAAGGATGTATCGTATCATTTCTATGCTGATGATATCCAGTTGTATTGTTCTTTTAATGATGCTGAGCTCCATCGATTGTCTCTGTTCTTAGAGTGCGTGTCCTCTATCAAAGACTGGCTGTCCACTAACTATTTGCAGATCAATTCAGACAAGACCGAAACACTGATCATTGCTCCAGACCACAAGATCCCCCATATCAAACAGTACCTTGGCTCTCTGGGCTCCTCTGTCAAACCCAGCCTCAGAAACCTGGGGGTTGTGTTTGACCAGGCCATGTCTTTGGAGACACACTCTAAACAGCTCGTCCGAAATTGTCTTTATTACCTTAGGACCATCTCAAAAATTCGCAAAATATTGTCAAGGAAGGATCTGGAAATTATTATTCATGCTTTCATTTCAACAAGACTGGATTATTGTAACTCTGTTTTTACCTGTCTGAATAAGTCTGTTTTGAACAAACTGCAAATTGTTCAAAATTCTGCTGCTAGACTTTTAACCGGTTTCTCTCGAAGGTCTCATATCACCCCAGTCTTGTCTACTCTTCATTGGCTCCCTGTAAAATTCCGGGTTGATTTTAAGATACTAGTGCTGACTTTCAGAGCCTTAAACGGTCAGGCCCCACAGTACATCCTGGACCTTTTGTGCCCATATTCCTCTGGCCGCACCCTTCGGTCCTCTGGTCAGAACTTGCTTGTTGTCCCAAAGACTCGTTATAAAACTCGAGGGGACCTATCTTTTCAGTCCGCTGCTCCCAGACTGTGGAACGCCTTGCCCCTGTCTCTGCGTCTGGCCGGATCTGTGGACTCTTTTAAAAAGGACCTTAAGACATGTCTATTCAAAAAAGCTTTTGGTTGATGGGTTTTCACTAGTGTCACTTTGATTTTACAGATGTCCCCACATTTTTATTGTTTTTGCTCTTACCCTGTACAGCACTTTGTGATTTTATCTGTGAAAAGCGCTTTATAAATAAACTTTACTTACTTACTTACTTACTAACACAAGAAATGCAATGATATAAAACTAGGGCTGTCAAAATTACCGCGTTAACTCACGTTAATTGAATTTTTTATTATCGCATTAAAAAAGAATGAACGTTTAACGCATGTCCGAATGACCCGCCCATGTATCCAATAATATCACTCAGAATGTGGACACATGCGTGTGTGAGATGGCAACAGAGCAGGTCTCTGGGAATTCAAGTTTTAAAAGAATCCACGGGGCACTTGCTGTTGTTTGCTATAAACTGAAGTCCGCCTCCTCCGTGGCCGCAGCGTTCCCAGAGGTTCCCACCTCCAGCGGTTGTGAACAGCCAACAACAAAACGGCGAATGGCGCCACGGTAACGTGGTCATATCCAAGACCATACACGCTCATGAATATTCTGTGCATGTTGTGTGCGTGTCTTTGCGTGCCCTGCGCGTAACTATGCAGCAATAAATACACATATACTGAAGCTGAACTATGGAGCCTCCTCCTGTCTCCTCATGAAACTCAACTAAACTTGCTAAATTAAAGCTGAGGTATGTACATTTTTCCTTTCATTGACAGCTCATGTTGGTTGTGCCAAAAAGTAAAAGGTTGTGAGCAAATCAAACAGATTTAAGTACATTTGGTTTGAATGACAATGTGTCATTACATTTGATAATCTCATTTAACTTCAACTGGAGTGGATTTGAAATAGAATGTTAAAAATGCGATTAATTGTGAGTTAACTCACCATTACTCTGCGATTAATCGACTAATATTTTTTAATTGTTTGACAGCCCTATAAAAAACACAGAGCCTTTGGTCCAATAGATGCAACTGTGCACTTTAATGTTTTAATTATTCTGTGTCTGTATATTAACCTATTCTGTGTGTACATTCCTGCACTGGTGGAGTTGCTTTTAATTTCATTATGCATGTGTATAGTGACAAGTAAAGTCTAATCTAATCTAATAAGGGGCAGATGGCCAATGTCCATAAATGTTGGAGTATCTTAGATCATCACCACTGTACTTTTTTACCCTCCTGCATCGTCAAGGAAAAACTATTGTAAAAAACCCAGTGGCGAAAAGAGAGAAACCTCGGGGAGGCTTACATTTTTGGCCGCATCTTTAGATCAGCACTTTTCTTAGATAGAAAAGAAGGGGTTTTCACACAAATTTGATCAAATCTGACCTTTGCCCCTAGATTATTCCTCCCCTCATAGAGACTTTCAATTGAATCGGGAGAGACTAATACAGACAGAATGCATTATATAATTGTAGCCCTGCAGAGACAGTTGATTAGTGTAGATCATTGTTCTGTGAGATGATCTCTGATCCTCCCGGCGCCTAAGCACTGGTGGTGGCAAGAGGGCGCAATGAGAGAGAATGCAAGCTGGAACGTGAGCCAAAAGAGGAGCCAGAAGAGGAGTTAGAAGAGGACTAGAAGGGGAGGAGCCAGGGGAGGCGGTGGGTTGCGAGAGCTTGGGAAACTCTAGTTGGCGGGGTGTTGCTACTTTTAAGCTACCCGCTTAATTGGTCTAGCATGGCAGGGGGCTGGTAGCGGTGTGATTTGTTGGGGTTGAGCTGGCCCAGGATGGAACTGCAGCAGGTGTCTTCCAGCCTGAATTTGTGCTTCAGCTTAATTTCAATCTGGAGAGACTAAAACAGACAGAATGCTTTATATAATTTTATTTATTATAGTTTGGCACATAGACCCTGGCAGAGACACTTGATCAGGGGAGAACATTGCTGTGTGAGATAATCTCTGATCCCTCAAAACTTGAGTGCTTGAAGAGTGCTTTTGTCTTTCAATGTCTTTCAAAGATAAAACTGAAATAGAATTTCCAGAACAGGGGTCATACCTGGCATATATACATGGCCTAATAAGATTGGCTCCTCCCACTCAGCTGGAATAGCGAACTATCTAAATGACATCACTATGACACGCCCCCGCCGCCTGTCAACTCCCGCCCACATATTTCGGACAAACACTGCCGAAATGAATCAAATACCACTTGTCACCAGGAGCAAAATTCCACCAGCAAACCATCAGGGATCATAGTATAGACCAACTAAAATGTTGGCTTGAATGTCATGGTCAGTAACTGGTAGAAAGTTTGAATTGATAAAAAGGTAATGGTGAGGATTATACTAACATTATCTAGTCATTTAAATTGCAATGCTAGCGCCTTCTTTGTTTATTTTGCTGTGATTAACTTCCATTTATCAAGTGTTTGTTTTTGTTGCGCTGTCCACTTTGTAATTAGTTTGATCATACAGTTAGCTACTGTCAGCTGATATTATAATAGATGGGGTCACAACGGGCTACACCACTATCTGCAGAGAGAAACTATCGGAACTAGCCACACTCAATAAACGCAAATGACAATCAATCGACACATTTAAATGTTAATCGGAGAATATTTTATACATCGCGATCGCTTTTTTGAAGTATGTTAGCTGGCCTCACTGTTACTCGCCTGCTACGGGAAAACCTTTGGGAACTATTTTCTTTGCAGTCATTAAATAAACCTTTTGGCAGTAATAAAAGTGACTGAAGTTGATTTTGTGTGTTCAGTTGGTACAAAGCGTATAATAAGCGGACCCCGACGCGCTTCGTCTACTTATTTTCCAATTGTCACAAAGTTGAAAAAAATCCCTTTCATCTTTCTTCAGGTGTGAAAATGTTATACATTCTGGATTAGGACAAACAATACTAATATGGATTGATGGGGGTAAATGGTATAAAGAGAAAGTTTGTGCTAACTACATTCAGAAGAGCTCAGACGGACCTGATACAGCGGTCCAGATCCAGTCCTAGCTAAACGTAGCTAGGACTGGATCTGGATACTCCACAGTTGGTCCAGCTTCACAGACGAAGTGTTTTGAACAAACACGAGTCCTTTTTAACATTTTCATGAGAGAAATTCTGCCGACCACAAGTACGAACCCACCTCTTGCACTTGACGATGGTGTGGTTTAACGAACGGGTTGAATGTAGTCCTTTTCAGAATACACACGCGTATGTGGAGAACACAGTAGTACTCAACGGAGTCATGCAATACAATACAATACAATTTATTCTTGTATAGCCCTAAGTCACAACAGAAGTCATCTCAGAGAACTTAACAAAACCATTGAAATCACCAACACAGGTCAGAGAATCAACAGTTAAAACACATGAAAAATATAAAGCACACACAGAAGAAAATGTCCATACATGTTGTAGAATGCTAAAGTGTCCTGATCATCACCAATCCTTTCTGTTGGACACTAACTGTCCAACAAGACCCTCCTGCATCGACAAGGAAAAACTCATTAAAAAAAACCCAGTGGGAAAAAGTGAGAAACCTTGGGGAGAACTAGGGAAACCCACAGGGAGGGAGACCCATTTGAGAAAGGGATCCGCTCCTCCGGACGGACAGGCTAATGATCTAGGACCTAAGCTAGCTACAGAACGTGGACCAGTGGCCGCTGAACGTGGACAGGTCCGGTGCAGGACTGAAGCACTCCCAGGCGGGTCGGGCAGGGCAGTCCGCATGGTCGTACACAATGTTTGTCCGAAACAAACCCGACAGTGCCCTATAGACCTATATACATGACAACATCATGGATCTATTATAATAACTGGATAGGGTATTACTAGCTTGGAGCTGAAGAACTCATGTGCTCAGGGGATTCTCATGGTACTGCAGACTAAACCAAACTAAATTCACATGGTCTACCCAGAAATGTTCCCCATAAAACTCAGTGTAAACTAAAACAGCTCGAGCTGCACTCAGTATACAGAGCACCAGCCCCTCACTGATCCTCCTGCAGGTGGTGAGACCACAGGAGCCTTGATCTTTCAGCGGGGGCTTCAGGCAAAGTGGGGTTAAGTTTAATTATCAAACTCCTCCTTTAAATGGGTGATGTATGTGCAGAACATGAGTTGATGAAAAGGAACACATGGTTTAGAAAGAAAGATGAGTTTAGATAGGTAAGGGTGGAAGCAGGTAGAGTGAATTATGTGCTGGTGAGCAAGAGTGAGAGAGGAAGGTTATGGACAGAGGTCTTGAAGTTGCTGAAGTCCTCTCAAACCTCAAGTTGAGGTTTTGAGGCAATCCTGGGGGGGTCAGGATCCATTACAGACAGACCCTACTTCTGACCCTACATCTACAAAGTGGATGAAGTTCTTTCTGTTGTTTCCTTATTTTGGCCACTGTGCCGCCACAGTGGTTACCGCTTGGGCTTCACAAGGTCCTGAGTTTGATTCCACCTCCAGACTTCTGTGTGGAGTTTGCATTCTCTCCGTGTGTCTTTGTAGGTTTCCTCCAGGGGCTCCGGTTTCCCCTACCACCAATATGTGTTTTCACAGACTCAGTGGAGACAGTCAACATTATTCATATTCTTATGCCAGAGTTTGACCCTGTAATTAGGGTCTGATTAAGGACTGATTAAATGTCACAATCCACGGAAAATACAAAAGAGGGAAGAGTTCACATTGGTTATACTCTACTTATGATTCTGTTTAAACCTGCCTAAAGTCCAACGTCTCTGTATGTGCTTTGAGAGGCTTATGAAGTCGAACCTAGACAAAGCTTGACATGAATGGAGTAAAAACCTAGACAAAGATCATGAATGGAGTTAAAAACAGCAGGTTCTCTTATTTTATTTCTTTTACAATGCTGAGACATGATTATAAATATGTTTTAATTGGAGAGCCACTACTTTGTGTCCTCACCTCTCTGCAGATGTTTGTGCTGCGCTGGATCTATGCATTGTGCGATTACCTCTCTGACGTCATCGAGGACGTTCTTCATAACAACTGGTGAGAAACATGCTGAGCCTCATCCTCTTTTATGACTTGTACGGACTGCAATGCATGTACCAGACCTGAGGGGGCGTCTTTCTGCTTGCCTCTTTCAGCGACCTCAAACATGTATTGTTACTCCGGCGATACAAGCAGGACCCTCGGGTGACTAAAGTGAACATACTGTATTTGTGTTTGTTTGGTTGCAGGAAAGAGATGATGCCGATTGTGTCCCTGATTTTCTCTGCTCTTTTCATCCTCTTTGGAACTGTGATTGTCCAGGCTATCAGGTACAAACAAGGTTTTTATAATAACGTAAAAAAAAGATTTGCCTATGGGACAAGTTTGCATGTCTAATTTTATTTTAAGTACTGTTACAATTTAATTCTCATTCCAAATTACAAGCTGTAAATAATCATAGACATCATCATAGACACACACAGGCAAACATGCACACACCATCCCACACACACATACACCCACTCAAATACTGTACATGTGAACGCACATCCACACACACTGAATATGTTTCTCTGTCAACAAGGGGCATGGCATACTTTTCTGAGGGAAATAAATAACGTTCACATTTTTTGTAGGATTATGAAAACAATTTTTCTCTTATTGTTGTTGTGTGAGGTCTTTTTTTCTTCTTCAAATAAGTACGTTTTCTATTGTTAAAAGAAAATGACAGAAAATCTTCTTCTGAACCTGATCAGAATCCTCCATCCCCCAGTTTTCAATATTGTGTTTTATGCATTTAACATATATGGCAGTGTAACAGGTCCCTGGGCTAAACAAGAAGTAACCAGAGAACAGCAAAGGGGCTAGAACTGAATGGCTAAGTGTCAGCTCTGGGAACACGCGGTAGACAAATCTACTATTTTAAAATTGGCACAGTCGGTGTAGCACAAAAACGTGTATGGCAGAAGCGGACGCAAGTGCATTAGACAAGACCTCGAGACGAACTCTACCATGATAGATTATAGAAAGCCGAACCAACTTCATCTACAACCTCTGCTCTAAACTAAATTATCGCTATTAGTATGGGTCACAAACTTTACTAAAACTTTTCAGTTTTTTATTTGTTAAAAAAGTTTAAATCATCCAATAAATTTCGTTCCACTGCACGATTGTGTCCCACTTGTTGTTGATTCTTGACAAAAAATTAAATTTTTATATCTTTCTGTTTGAAGCCTGAAATGTGGCAAAATGTTGAAAGGTTCAAGGGGGCCGAATATGTATAGTTAAAAAAAATAAAGAAGGTGGCTACAGGAGCCTCCTCCTCAACCCCCAACTCCCGTCCTCCCGACCTCTGCCTACTCCTCCACAAATGTGCTGTACAGGCACGTGGCCAGGCCATGGGGGTTATGGTTACCCAGGAGAGAGCTTGCTGGCTCAGCCTCTCCAACCTTTCCCATAGGGACAAGACTGATATCTTGAATGTCCCTGTTGACCCAAAAGGATTGTTTTGTTCTGCCATAACAGAGAGGATGCGAGGAGAAGAAACGTGAGGGTGAAGCGCTGCAACTTTGTCTCCCGAGAAAAGTGCCCGTTCCAAAAGTCGCTTCTCAGTTTTCTCCATGGCCTATACCCGGGCAGGCCGCATGCCGCAACTCCAAACACCCAACGCAGAACTTACAGTACATGTTCAGGATGCTGACACACACCGCTCTAGTACGTTTCGTGCGACAGAGCGATTTGTTTGTGACCATTTGAAAGACGCATACTTTCACCCCTGACCACCCCCTCACTGAAAGTATGTAAGTTTTGCTTTCCAAGGGGTGGTCTACGATTACACCACTCTCCCGTTCGGGCTCTCTCTGAGCACACGGGTGTTCATGAAATGCACAGAGACTGCAATTGCACCTCTGCTGGCATGGAGATTGCACTTAGCCACGAACATAGACGACTGGCTACTGGCTGCTCATTCCCCACAACAAATCTAGGTCCATGCCAGGATGATCTTGCAGTCTCTGTGGTGCCATTTGGGCTACGCCTCACACCTTTGCCAGGTTTTTTAGACTGGATGTCACAGGCCCCTCACTGTCTTGGAATGTTGTGAGCAGGCTCCACCTAGAGTGCCTCTGTAGGTTATAATTTTTTGGTCTTGGAGTAAGCTTGTCAATGGGAGTCTATATATTGACCAGATGAATCGACGTCGGAAGTAGTAGAAGCTTGCATTGCGGCGAGAGAAAAACGAACTACAACGCTTAAAAACTGAGACTCTCCTAAATCGAGAAGTGGCTGCTTCAAGAACATGTTCAATAACGTTATCAGTGGAAGTAGGACATCTTGTCAGGGCTCACAAAGAGCGGTATTTGGAGGATCGCCAAACTGGATGTTGACCCCCACCTTTCCCCCCAGTCAATTTTATTGATTAAATGAAATGGCCAACTTTTCCTGAATTCACCCCGAATTATCTTTATTGTTATGTAGTTAACAATGCATCCCCTTACACTGGATTCTGCTGGCATTAGCATTAGCGCATTAGCAATAGTCCACTTTTCTGTCTATAGCCAAACATGATTAATATTTACAGTTTATGAATATGATACATATTGACGGACATGACGTCTAAGACAAGATAAGAGATCCTTTATTCGTCCCACAGTTGGGAAATTTCAATGTTGCAGCGCACATACAGGACAGTAGTAAGAGCACACGTTTGACTTCAAGCGTTCGTTGTGTCATTGTCCTCCAAATAAATGAATGGAAAGAAAATAACTACAAAATTATAATTGATTTATCTTCTAAAAAGTGTTCCCTGCAAATTCGGGAGTACTTGGATGGCTCCCAGTCCTTTTGGTTGATTGCCACTAGCCATCGTCGTCTTCTGTCTTCATCACGAGCAGGTATCAAATAAAAGACCCATTTGGCTTAAGTCCTCGCCTGTTAGTACAACCCCCGCACAGCACTAAATCACAGTTTTGGCTGTTACTCTGTGAAAGGAGTTGTTTTGGTCAGGTTTTCGAAGGATCGGAGTTGAGTAAACAACAAGACTTCCGCCATCTGTCATGGAGAGTGTGCGTGGTCGGGACATCACCGGCACGGGGTCAATAGTAGGCGGTAGCCCCGCCTCCTTTTGGAGGTGAAGTCACGTCTGATGGGCTATATGCACGGGGAGGCGTGACGTCATTTCCTGTTAACAAAATACAGCCCGTCCACTTCCTGTCTATGCTATCCTATGGCTTTTAGGTGGGTTTTAGTGACGTTTTTTAGTAATTAGATTCATACTTTCAGCTGTGAGACTGACCCAAAAGTGTCGCTGTGCTTTCTCTCTGAGGTAGAGCTTTGACTGTGGCCACTCAGAGCGATTTGTAAACTTTATAAAAACACAATGATAGCACAATCAAAGAGCACTGCTGTGTCCCAAAAATGCCCAGTATCCTCACAGTTTAATTCCCGTTAGAGCATTATTTAGGAAACTCACGTAAACCACTGCTGAACTCCAGTGAAACTCAAGCCATTTCCCGCGAACAGGAAGTGAAGTGGGGTACTAGCTAAAACACGGAAGTAGTACGAGCATGGAGCCCATTGCCAATCAGGAGACTGACATGGTGAGATATGGCTTCAGGGTTGCCAAAGGCTGGCAAGATTTTCCAGCCCAAAACCTGCGAGAATGCCTACAAAATATAATCACCCAGAATGATTTTTTGGCACACAAAATTATATCAACATAGGCTATCATGATTCTGTTTATTGTCCTTTTGTCTATTTATTACCTACAAGTCGCTTGGAACAAAAGTATGCAGGAAACCACCAGTGTTTCCCACACATAGACTAATCTGTGGCGCACCGCCACAGATTAGAGACCGCCCGCCACAAATTGCGTTTCGTATTATTATATATATATTTTTTTTGTTACGCTATTTAAAACATGCATCGTCTAGTGCCGCCGCAGCGGTCAATTTGACAGCGGGGAGGGGGGTTTAAAATGTGGCGGCCCTTCGTAACTCTCACTCAAGCTACGCGTCTCTCCCACATACAGAGACCTACACACACACAGCCCCTCCCCTTCGTGCACACCGCGTGTCTCCGTCTCCATCAGCGATCATCGCTGTAAGCAGCTGTGTCTATTCATTTACCGCGGTAAAGTGGCCCGCATCTTTCAGCTCTATGAACATGCGGCCCGCATCGGGGAAAAGACGGTGCGCGTTTTGTTGAGAACTTACGGTAACAGCGGAACGTCCTTTCGGAGTCACCCATTTTTATCGAACAGAAAGCGCGCTGGGGTCAGGGAGACACGTTTTTGTGATTAAAACCTTATAGAGATGCCACCCGGCACACATAGCACCAGCCCCCTACGATTCCTCCGGCAGATTGTGAGTCCTCAGGAGGATAGCCACTCTATTGTTTACATGTATAAAGTACACAATTTGGTCCGCTAGTGCAATTTTCAAGTATTGTAACTATTTACTGGAATAAGGTGTGCGACTAATTTCACTTGACTCATGACCTTATTATTGCCCTCTGCCACTGTACCAAAGACCAGAAACTTTTACTGTAGAAATATTGAGAAATATTGAGGTAAAGTAGCCATTTTGGTCCAAAATACCTCCAAAATAGTCAAAACATGTCACTTTTGATCTACTGTAACTTTTTACTGTAAAAAGGTGTGCGACTAATTTCACTGGATTCATGACCTCAAGATTGTCCTCTACCACTGTACCAAAGACCAGACACTTTTACTGTAGAAATATTGATTTAAAGTAGCCATTTTGGTCCAAAATAGCCTAAAAATGGTCAAAACATGTCACATTTGATCTACTGTAACTTTTCACTGTAAAAAGGTGTGCAACTGATTTCACTGGATTCATGACCTCAACATTGCCTTCTACCACTGTACCAAAGACCAGACACTTTTACTGTAGAAATATTGAGAAATATTGAGGTAAAGTAGCCATTTTGGTCCAAAATACCTCCAAAATAGTCAAAACATGTCACTTTTGATCTACTGTAACTTATTACTGTAAAAAGGTGTGCGACTAATTTCACTGGATTCATGACCTCAAGATTGTCCTCTACCACTGTACCACTGTACCCCCCCCCCCCCCCCCCCCCCCCCGCCGACGACCACCACACATTGCCTTCAAACCTGTGGGAAACACTGACCACCCAACCTGGCAACCCTGCTTCATAGTGTAAGTTTGACAGGAGCAGATACTACTTAAACCAAACCTTACACGAACATTTTACTCTTAAGACCCACATATCACGACATGGAACCATCAACATTTCGCCTCAAATTGCATCAAAAGTGATATCCGTGTCTTAATTAGTTTGTATTTAAACTGACTTCACACAACCACCAGAAATAACAAATACTCACACAAATTATAATGTTTGTTTATCGTGGGCCTAATTTATTTAACAAAATACTTTCTTTCTTCACTTGGAAGGAGTTTGCTTTGCCGTCAATCCCAGACCGTTGTGCTCAGTGAAACGCCTCTGGTGGAGCATTGCGGAACTAAGGCTCTGGCAAGAGTCAGGCTGGTGAACTGCATGTTTGACTCCATGTTTTCCATCATTTGAAAAAAGAAAAAACTTCACACAACCACCAGAAATAACAACTACTCACACAAATTATAATGTTTGTTTATCATGGGCAGAAAAGCCCAATCTATTTAACACAATACTTCATTTCCAAGTGAAGAAGGCTAAAAAAATGCGTTTTTCCGTTTGTCTTATTTTAACAATAATTGTTAGTAATAATGATGAAGTTTGGGAGAGCCTGGACCAAGAACAATATACCTTCTGAATGTGTTTTGCTGTGACCTGTTCCTTGGATATATTCATTCATTTCTCACTTTCCTTCATTGGTTATGGTTCAGTGACTCGAGTGACGACAAACCCCTCAAACCGAAGCCCAAGGAGGTTCCAGCGGCCGGGCCCAACTCAAGGCAAGAAACAGCCCCCTGTGGATGTCCCTGTATTAGTTCATACAAGCAGAATTTTTATAACTCGGAGGTGCAATTTATTTAATCTAAATTATATTATATAATTACATAATGATAATACTATGATCGCAACTTTAAAGTAGGCATACAGGTGAAACTCAGAAAGCTAGAATAATCGTTATCCATGTTATCTTATGTTATCCAACTTACAAAAAAGATGAAAAATGTGCTATATAAATAAACATTACTTACTTAATTACTTTCAATGTGAAACTAATAAATGACACACAAGAATCAAGAATTTATTTGCCATTTGCAGTAAACCACATTGTAAAAACTGTGCAAGACTTCCCCAGTTTCTACTTGAAGTTTAGTACTACTACTGTAGCAGTTTATCTGGGAGTTTTAATGTGGGACATAGGATGAGGCTGGGAACTCCTGCGCCTCCCACAGTAACCACCTGTTTGTTTGCAGCCGCGTCCCCAAGAGGAGCTTTGTGGAGGTGACGGAGCTGACGGACATCACCTACATCAGTAACTTGGTGCGCCTGAGGCCGGGACACCTGAACATCGTGCTGGTTCTGTCCCACACCTCCAAGAACAGCCTCCTGTCCAAGTTTGCCAAAGAGGTCTACTCCTTCTCCGGGTCAGAACACTCCCCAAACATACAGTATACACCCCCTGGTAGAAATTTCACTGTTCACTGGATAAAACTGGCTTCATGCAACCACCAGTGGTTGCCATATAAGTGATTTCCTTCTGTTGTTCAAAACAAGCTTACACAAACTTCTGTCATTCATTTAAAAAGTGAAACCACTACATTATACAGACTCATTTCCTGCAAAGTGACAAATGCCAAGCCTTTGTTTGTCATGATATTGAGGATTATGGCTCACAGTCCATTTCAAAAAATTTCCTTTTTTTAGTAGCTGTGAGTCAATTATTGACATTATAACAAATAAAGGCTTGATATATCTAACTTTGCATGTTTGGATAATATATAATGAAACTAATATATGACACTCATATTTTAGTTTGACATTGTAATTTTAATTACAGAAGTAAATGGACTTTAATGATATTCTAATTATCCTCCCGTGTGACTGAGCTACTAACTCTCCTGCCACTCATTTTGAGCGCTTGTATCCGAGATGTCATCCTTTTGGTCATAACCCAAGGTGGGAAGGGAACAAAGACTGTGTGGGAAAAGGAAAAGTTTGCCTTTCGGCTTAGCTCCCTCTTCACTACAACGGCTCGGCCGCATCACTGCACAAGCTGCACCGATCAATTTCAACCTCCATCCTTCCCTGATTTGTGAACAAGGCCCCAAGATGCTTGATCTCGACCCATCAGGGGAGAGGACAAGGCACCATTTTCTGATTGAATACCATGGTCTTGGATTTCCGAATCTGATTGAAGGCTTACAGGTGGAGAAAACGGCTCTGTTCATGTCATGTTTAAAGTTAAGTTAATGCATATTGGTGAAACATATTTGAAAACAGGGTATTTTAGACACAAGGTCCAGGTTTTCATTACGTATTAGCTCATTATTGAGGTGAGTATCTTTCTCATCAGGTCCGTCCTCTCTGCTGTTGTCAGACTGTATAACGAGAACTGCTGAGTCTGTACAAGTGTCACTGATAATAATTAACTAGTCACTTAATCACTAGTCAACAGTTGATCTGTTAATATTATTACTGCATTACTACTTATCCATTCATCTGATATCTCTTTCATTTACTAGTCACTTTACCGGCTGATTATTACTATTGTTTATTCTGCTCATATTCTCTGATGCTGAAATACAATGAACACATCTGTATATACCTCTGAACCAAGTGCAATTATAGCTCCAGAGTTTTATTTCATTCTATTGTACTATCTTATTACATATTATTTTAATTTTATTATCTATTGGCGGCATGGTGGCTGAGTGGATAGCACTCTCGCTTCTCAGCAAGAAGGTCCTGGTTTCGAATCCCGGTCGGAACAGGGCCTTTCTGAGTCGAGTTTGCATGTTCTCCCCGTGTCTGCGTAGGTTTCCTCCGGGTGCTCCGGTTTCCCCTACCACTAAAAATATGCACAATAGGTATGAATGTAAATGAGAGAGTGAATGGATGGTGTTGATTGGGGGCTGATGGTCCAGTGTGTTCGCGACTCGCTTCCATCATCACCGTGTGTGGAATGATTGGAACAATATCTTAACTCTGAACATTGTAAAGCGCTTTGGGTGAACTTGGTCTGTAAAATGCGCTATATAAATAAACATTACTTACTTACTTTTATCTTAACCTGTTTGATATGTGCAATCTGAGTCTTATTTTCTCTGCTGTAATATTTGCAACAATGACATTGAAATTTCCCCACTGTGGGACGAAAAATATCTTATCTTATCTTATCTCTTAACAACAATTTAACTTTTGTGTTTTTATGCAGGAGTGAGACGCTGCACTTCTCCTTCCTGAACTTGGATAAACACATGCAGTGGATGAGAGCTCTGCTGGACCAGGCCAAAGAGCCCATCCCCTTAGGCAGAGAGGAGGAGATGGACCAGAGATCAGAGCAAGGACGAGACCAGAGACTAAACCAGGGAGTAGTAGACTACAGTGGGGTGGTGATGGCTCTGAATGGACATAAGAAGTACTTGTGTCTGTTCAAACCTGTGTGCACTGGAGAGGAGAGCAGGTGAGATCATATTTTACTATTACATATTTTTATAAAATATTGACTATGTCAGCTGAGGCTAAAGATCTTGGGACGGATGATGGTGACCTCCTCAAGGAAAGGTTCCACTTAGGAAAGAATTCTTTAGTTTGATAAATGACCGGATCTCTCCATACACTACCGCGCCATAAATGTGCCTTCATGCACGTGCGCAGAGGCGGACATGTAAACAAAGTCTGTGTTGTGAAGCGGCACGCACTGCACTGAGGTGTTTTACCTAGCACTCTCGCCTCTCAGCAAGAACGTCCTGGGTTTGAATCCCGGTCGGAACAGTGCCTTTCTGAGTGGAATTTGCATTTTCACCCCCTGTCTGTGTAGGTTTCCTTCGGGTACTCCGGTTTCATTAGTAGCACCTGTGAAACAAAAACACGGTTCTGCATCCTTTTTGTCCGTTATCAACCAATGTATATCAAGATGGTGCATTGACATGGAGAGTCCTCAGCTCGAGATGTGTGTGAAAATGCGCCTCACAATAATGTGATAATGTGACACAAAATCACGTCCCCTCCACACCTCATCCCCCACTCCCCACCACACTGACCCCCCTCATCTGGGCTTTGAACCGTGCCAAGCCCGCATGCCCCGGTCACATAAGACCTAAAGCCCGGTGTCATGTGATGAAGTGAATGAAGACCCAAATTGCAGGAATGCCAAAAATATGGGTTTAATGATAAAAAAGTCCAGATTTATCAAACTCAAAATACAAAACAGGACCAGGAACAGGACAGAAATAGACAGAGACATGAACAAGACAGGACGTCGACAAGACAATGGACCAGCACAAGGGGAGAGGAGCACAGGGTACAGATAGACAGACACAGGTGAAACACACCAGGGCGGGGCATACAATCAAGATAGGGGAAACTGGACAGGAAGTCAAACTAAAACTAATTCACAGATAAGACGTCTAAATTAGGGCTGTCCAAAATAGCGCGTTATTAACGCGTTAACGCAAATCAATATTAACGCCGTCATTTTTTTTATCGCGCGATAAAAAAAAAAAAAAAAAAAAAAAAAGTTTTTATTTTTTTTTTTTTTATTTTTTTTTTTATTTTTTTTACTTTTTATTGCAGACAAACACATAGAAACAAAGAAAAGGACTAGTTCAGATACATTGTAGACAGAGATTACAAACAATATGTAGTTGGAGATACAGGGGGCCAAAGAAGAAACCCAGAAGGGCACATAGGAGGGGAGGGGGGGGGGGGGGGGGGGGGGAAGTGGGAGATGGGGGGAGGGGTTAATAAAAAAGGCAATACAAGCAAACAGTATACAGTCATAGATATACCAAAGGTAAACAGAGAAACAGCATAGAGTATTTACATTAACAAATTTACAAAATATTTACAGATTGTTTATCATCATCATAATGACACCATGATGTTTCTATACAGTCTATGGTCTATACCCACACATACACACACACACCCACACACACACATTGAAGGGGCTTTTTGTTACCAATTATTTATTTTGTCATCCATTTATTGATGATTTTGCATCAAATGTTAGTGTGTAATATAACACTACACATTGTTTTCAATAAAAAAACCAATTGCACACAGCACGCAAATGTGTGACTAATTTGCGATTAATCGCGAGTTAACTATGAAATCCATGCGATTAATCGCGATTAAATATTTTAATCGTTGGACAGCACTAGTCTAAATATAACAAAAATACAAAAATGGCCCACTTAAACCGGGCTGTGCATGTGACAAATGTAGGTTCCCAGCTTTAACATATTTTTTGTTGCCGCACTAAAAGAGAATTTCAGACTTTGCAATTTTCTAATTGTAATTTAAAACATTTTTATTTGATTGAATGTTTCCACCCAATATTCTTGAAGTGCAATGAGCCAATTATCTGTTATAGTTATGAATGACTATTTTGTTTCTCAATTCAACACGACTTCATTCTTGGTATTTTGTAAAAGATTGACCTGTCTGTTTGCTCCTCAGTAAACCCTGTGAAGAGAAGGACAGCTCTGTGACGTCACGCTCCAGCCACTCTCTGTGGGGGCCTCACAAACTGGACCGACTGGGACTGTGGATGGAAAGGCTGCTCGAGGGAAGTCTGCCCCGCTACCACCTCCCCGTCTGGCCCGACATACACACCATCAGCCCCAAATAACACTTGCAGACTGCCATCACAGAACACTGGGGCTTCTTTACAGATATAATGATAAACAATAATAATATATTGGTTTTATTTAGTGCTTTTGTGGACACTCAAAGATGCTTCATATGACACTATTCTTCCACTCCACGGTGGTGATAAGCTACAACAGTAGTTGGCCTAGGGCAGACTGACAGTATTTCAATCCAATCCACTTTATTTATATAGCACATTTTATAAAACACGTTTCCAAAATGCTGCACAGATAAAAGTAAGACATTAAAATAAACAAGTCTGCCAGCTTTAAATAAACAAATATATAATAAAACAAAAACAATTAAAATAGAATAAAAACAATTACAATACAAAAATTGAGCTTATAGCTTATAGCTTGTTTTATGTTTATTTATATACATAAATAAACATAAAACAATACAATGAATAAAGCAAAGGACCACACAGCTCCCGCGGTGTTAAAAGCCAGAGCGTAAAAATGCATCTTAAGATGAGACTTAAAACATTCCAACGAGGGAGATGTCTTGACGAAGGGGAGGCAGAGCTTTCCACAGCTTTGGTCCAGCCACAGAGAAGGCCCTGTCCCCCCGGGTTTTAAGTCTCGTCTTTGGCACCACGAGCTGGAGCTGGCCCTCGGACCTCAGTGGGCGGGGCGAGTGATACATTTGGATGTGGTCCGAGATGTACTGTGGGGCCAGTATATATCTTGATTTTAACCCATTTTGGCTGTTGCAAAGAATAAATATTACGCGTTATCTTTCGGTGTTAAGAACTATAATGAGACTATTTATTTCTTTGTTTCATTTTGGGCTGGAGCTCAGTGAATTGAGTGGCAGCTGATTGCCACTCCTTCTGACCCAGAAAATAATAAAGGGGAAGAAAATGGATGGATGGATTTTTAGAATGTGAAATAATATCTTCAGTGGAAAATATTGAAGTATTACGATAGATAAAGCTATCTGTCTGCACTATCTCTATGTACCCACCAGAGGGAAGCAATACAATTTGTTGGTTTTATGACATCATATCATGATGATATCATGACATCATGGAGTTACATGTTTTTGCCCGAAATTTGTGATATTAGTGTAGATGGATCTAAAAACATTTGCAGGTCCACAACTGATGAGACACGATGTTGGAACATGGTTTTGGTCGTCTTATCTTGTCTTGTCTTGTTAAAGCAAGTTTTGCCAATGGAACATGTTATTCCCTTTTCTGTCTCTTTCCAGTGAGACAGAGGAGTCATTGCTTGTAAATTCACATTTTTCTGCTGCTGGACACCTACATTTCTCCTAAGGGGATCAATAAAGTACAGTTCTATCTATCTATCTATTTTAGCAAAAGATCTCTTGGACCTGGAACACCTTTCCAGTAAAAACTTGAACAGACCAGGATGTTGAATTTGTAGCCTGATTCTCCACTGTGATTTTAGTTTAAATTGATATCATCTTGTTCTTGGCATGCTTATGAACACTATATCCATTGTGTTAATGCTGTGGGCAATTTGGGGATTTAATGAGCAGAAATGGATGATTCTGTCAGCAGTTTGATACAGGCTCAAACTTCAGACCTCCTTATCTCAGAATGACCCTGACCACAGATTGAACCTTATAATCTAAATAGGCGGCTGCATTTGTGGAAAAAACACCTAACCCTAACAAATTTCTAACAAAAGGTTTCTCAGATGTTTTTTGTAGTATTAGATGTTCTTAATAACATACTAAAAGATTACCAAAGCTTGACCACTAGAAAGGTGTAATTTTCAAGATGGCGTCCAAGATGGCGTCCAAGATGGCCTAACTCATTCATTATTTGACCTAGCCAAGTAATCTTGGTGTCTAAGCCCATGTTTTTTGGGTCTATGAATCCATTGGACTGGTCTAAATTGCACTGAGATTATTACATTCTTATGGAATACATGATTTTGTGATATTACTGCAAGGTTTTATCTTTGGGGTGAACCATTCTGAAGTCCTTAAAGTAATTGATAAACATGCCCCATTTAAAACTATTCTCGTAAAAGGAGGGCATCTTCCATGGACTAGCTCTGACTTAAACGTGGCAGCACGGTGGCTGAGTGGGTAGCGCTTTCGCTTCTCAGCAAGAAGGTCCTGGGTTCGAATCCCAGTCGGAACAGGGCCTTTCTGAGTGGAGTTTGCATGCTCTCCTCGTGTCTGCGTAGGTTTCCTCCGGGTGCTCCAGTTTCTCCTACCACTAAAATCTTGCAGAATAGGTATGAATGTAAATGAGAGAGTGAATGGATGGTGTTGATTGGGGCTGATGCGCCAGTGTGTTCAGCGACTCGCTTCCATCATCACCGTGTGTGGAATGATTGGAACAATATCTGAACTCTGAACATTGTAAAGCGCTTTGGGGGACCTTGGTCTGAAAAATGCGCTATATAAATAAACATTACTTACTTACTTCGAGACCATGCTTGGACTAAATACAGAGAGTCTAAGGACACTAACGATTGGGAGATCTATAGACAACTCAGGAATCAATCCAAAACCCAAACTAGGAATGCCAAGTCCAATTACTATAAGGAAGCCCTCGGTCTGAAATACAATAATCCTAAACAATTTTGGAAACACCTGGACCAGCTTCTGGGTAGGTCCAAAAGAAACTCAACCAATCATGTTACTGTTGATAGTACTACAATTACTGATCTTAACTTACTGTATATGCTGATGTCGTCTGTCAGGTACAAACTTAAACATGAAAAAATCTGCCCACATGCTCTTTGAATAAAATTGAAAAAGATATGTATAAATAAGAAAATTATTTTAAAAAAATATGTAAAAAACCAAAAAAAACAATACAAAACACAAATAAAAATAAACAATAAAAATAAACACAAATATTTATCGAAAAAAAACACAAGGGGTTAGCGGTACTGAGCCTTCACGCCGCAGCCCTGTTTGGACTAATTTTACAGTACCAATCAGTTCTAATGAATTTATTCTTTATTGGAATCAAAATAATGGTTATGAACCACTGAAACCACCAACACTAAGTAAAACGATATGATAAAAGAGAAATATGGGATTACTTAAGGGAAATTGTACTTTTTTTTCGCATACATATGCTTATAACCAATTGCTTTAATATTTAATTGTACTTATCACTTATTTTTCATACAAATATACTGATTAGAATATTATATGACCAAAACAGATATCAGACACCAATATACGGTCATTTCAAGGACCTTATGGCCGCCATTTTGAAAATGAGGCCTTTCTTGGAGTCAAACTTTGGTAAACTTTTAATATGTTCAAGTTATGAGTACATCTGATACTACTGTAAACCACTGAGAAACCAAGAATTTTTTTGGGGTCAAGCCATATTTGCAGCTGACTAAAAAGGGACGACTATAGCTGGAGTAACTTTTTGTTTTGTTTCATAAAATAATTGTGTGTGTCCAGCAGAACTAGTTTTGTTCAAGTAAAAATCTGCAAACAAATCAGACCACAACATACTGTCTTTATCTTTTCAGTTACATACATCCATTAATTGGCTGAGATCAGTACTCCCTTTTTCACTGAAATATCTGATCTAAAGATGTGAAAAAGGCCAAAAATACATGCATATGAAAGCTTTGAGCGGGAGGAACTAGTTACATGGATTTTATTTTACAGTTCACTTTTTGTTGTTTTAAAGGTATACACACCGGCTTTGAATCTGTCCGTGGGGTTAGTGCAATTGCGTTTGGACTGTCAGATCACAGCTGTTATATCACGACCCACTGTAAACCCTGACAAGTAAAGTTTACTTGAAAAAACCTTGGAAATAAATTGCACATTCATTTCACTTGAATTCCTCGAGTACATCCTTTACTTGATATTACCATGTAAACTCAAGTGATTGCAATAAAGTTTAAATTTACTTATGCTCTGACTGAGATTTGTACTTAGAACCTTATAGTTGAGAAGTAAAGGTGCTACCCACTCAGCCACTGGGCCACCCTGTCATTGACACACCTGCCTCATTAAAGAGTCTACACGTCAGAAGTGAGGCTTACTTGAACAGAAACAGTTCAATTCAACAAAAACCCTGAGTGATATAGCCAAGCTTTAAATAAACTAACAATAAATGATTCATATTTACTTACTGCACAGCAAAAAGTGGAGTGTTATATTGACTCTCACAGTCAATTTTAACATTTTTCCAGAGTTTATTTGAGTCCACCTCATTAGAGAGGTAATTTAACATTCCTTGATTACTGTAGTTAATTCAGTAACACTGGACAAGAGTTTATATTTAACACTTAAATCAATGGTTATAGTAACACCTCGAGAGTTACTTAACACTATGTCAGGTCATCATAACACCAGGAGGTGTTTTATTATTATTATTTCTAATGTTAATTTAACCCTCTGCAGGTCATCCCACAACACCAGAAGGTATTTTATTTGAACTATTTTTAATGTTAATTTCACATTTTTTGAGTTGCTACTATACACTATAAAATGTTAAATTAAGACAATATGAATTTTCAAAAAAACATTTTAATTAATTAAAACATTGCAAAAAGTGAAAATATGTACAAACTTCAATTTCAAATATTAGCGGCATTTTGAATATCAAACGGCTTTGAATTTTTAGGACACAAAATGGTGACGAGACATCTTCCATCACAGCTGATATACTCTAAAGCCATGATAAGCATCCAGCATCAAAAGAAACAAACATTTTTAACTCCTTTACCCCAGGAGACTAATTTTCCCCACATCAATGTTGAACACTGTTCTGGTCTGAATGAATATGTAAAGATTCACTAAAGTAGCATCATAGGACAAGTTGAAAACATAATGACTTTTAAAAAGTTCTACAAAGGTTGCCTGGTCTGGGATGAGATGAGAGTCCAATTTAATGTTGTCCATTTTGCCGGTTGCTGCCCAACCGCAGGATGTTAGGGTGCTCAGGCAACAGCGAAGGTGCTCCTCCAGGCTGCAGCATGACTACAGTGGATAAAAAGAAAAATATTTTCATAT